TAGTTCACAAATTCACCGTTCTCATAACGTAGAGGGTAGCAGAAAATCCCTGACTTTTTACACTATCGGTATTTCAGAACATGAGACTCGAAGTCCCATAAGATGATAGGTCTATCCTATACCTAGTCGGTGACTGTACATTATAATTTGACAGATGTATATTTAAATTGAATTTCGCGCGTTTACTTTTTTAAACTTAAAGGAACCCAGTATATCAATTGACTAACGTAGTTTAAATTCGTTTTGAATTGAACGCTAAACTTGACAGTACTTACATACTTTTGTACGTATGTACATATAAATACACTTTAATGTAAAAGATTGTACTATAATATATTTGAAATACATTACTTACTTTCCAGCATACATACCAATCAAGAAGTATATCGTAGAAGCAATTATAAAGTAACACTAATGCAATAAGGAAAAGGTAATCAAACAGTCTACAATGTTTTTTCCGCTTTTCAAATTTTCCTCTTGATAGAGGAAAATCGATATTGATGAATGAAGTAGTTACTTAAATTATGTTAGTTCTTATTATACTTATGCAATGTATTGCGAAGTAATTTTTTATACGCTGACTATTATTAGGTTATGAATCTCATACATACATGTATTCATATACGCATTCAATAAATGTTTGAAAACATTTAACTATAATTTTATGCAATTCTTTTTGTTCTATTAGAACGATGATCCAAACTAGTTGTGATCCTACAATTGAAAAACATTTTAAAGGCCATGAAAGTGCTATCACAAGCTTATGTTTTCATCCGGAGACAACTCAACTTATATCAAGTAGTTTGGATAAGACTATAATATTATGGAACCTTACACAGTCTGTAAGGGCTTACAGATTTCTAGGACATAAAGATGCTATTAATGATGTTAGTTACGCACCATCTGGCGAAGCCATAGCTAGTGCCTCTAGAGATAGGTCTGTCAGAATTTGGGTCCCTAAAGTAACAGGTCAATGTATAGATTTCAAAGCACATTCAGGAGCCATTAGATCAGTAGAATTCAGCCCTGATGGGAAGAAGGTACTAGTACATAAGATAAAAGTATAGTGAATTGTATATTAATTTTATTCTTATAGATTATTTAAATTTCTATACACATTGGTATACAGTTACTTACCGCATCCGATGATAAAAGCATAAAATTATGGATGGTGTGTCAAAGAAGATTTCTCATGTCTTTTGTGAATCACAAAAGTTGGGTCAGACGTGCTACATTTTCTAACGATGGTAGGCTCATTGTTTCCTGCAGTGATGATAAGACAATAAAATTATGGGACATTGCTAGTGGACAGTGTATTAAAACACTATTTGATATTAAAGGTATGAAATGTTCATCCGTTTAAAATTTGTTGATTTTTCAAGTTTTTGTTAAAAACTACACTCAGTTTTGAATTATGGTAATAATTTCATTCTTATTTCATTCTTATTTTCTTTTCTTCTTTATTAGCTTATAACACATATGTGGAATTTCATCCAAGTGGCTCTGTCATTGGATCCGCAAATATGGCTGGTTGTGTAAAATTATACGATCTGCGATCTTTTTCATTGTATCAGCATTATGCAACTCACAAAGGTCCTGTCAATATGATAAAATTTCATCCTAATGGAAATTTCATGTTGACTGCTTCTAGTGACTCCACAATGAAGGTAGAATGTACTTTTTTTTTTAATTTTATAAATTTCGTTGCATTTTGTATATTTAGAATCTTCAAATAGGTTTTAGATTTGTTAGAAGGTCGTCCAATTTATACATTGAAAGGGCATGCAAATGATACGAGCGTCACATCGATAACATTCTCCTCCGGCGGTGAATTCTTTGCTTCCGGTGGAGCCGATCGACAATTATTAATGTGGAAAACTAATTTCGATAAGGACGATATTGCTCGTAGAATTCCACGACAATTAATTTCATCTGTTAGAGAAGTAAAAACCAATACTAAAGACGAAAATATGCACATGGATAATGATATAGTTGCAGTGCAGGAAGTAAAAGAAGTAATAGTTATTATAAAACTTCATACACTGATACAAAATGTTTCATAAATCGTATTTTATTTATAATTTATAATATATTATCTATTTTAGTTATTGCACGAAGAGTTTAGTACCACGGAATTACAAAACAATAGAAGTCATTGCAAAGCACCTGATGTTGAAATTTTAGGAAGAAAACTAGAACAAGAAGTAGTTAATCTAAAAACACAAGAAATTCCCGAACAAGGTCGTATTGTAAATATATCTCGTTTGTGTAAAGATTTCTCTAATGCACAAGTATCTGTGCATTCAAGCAATATAGTAGATGCGCTTAATGAGCAAGTACAGTCTCTACGTGATACTGTTACTGTTTTAGAACAACGTTTAACAGTATTGGAAGAAGAATTGAAAAAATAAATTTTTATAATTTACTTATAAATTTGCACAATCATTACATTTTTCATGTAAACAGTAAGTATTTTTAAGATTCATATTTGAAATGAAGTCAACATTTTTTTGAAAGTCATCTATGAACCCCTTCCTTCCTTTCTTTGAGTTCTATAGAAGCATGCACTTTTATCATCCAATGTATGGTACCAGCATAGATGTCGCAAGCCAATAACATTTATCAAAGTAAAAATTAGATACATTAAATGATATTTAAATTATTTATAGAACGTTATGTAAATAACAACAAATGAAAGTAGAGATTTAATTATGTGTTATGTAAGTTGAAAGTTCATATTTCTATAGTGTGTGGTATTTGAAAAGTTTCTGCGATGATCACCATCATTTTGACACTATACTCAAAGGGACAGTACAAATTCATGAAACTACTGAAATTTTTAATATTTTTTATATATAATTTGAAAACTCACACGATGCTTATATACAGGATTGTGTTTAATTTGATAATTCTAAAAACAATTATTTCTTCAGTTCTAATAGTTGGCATACCTTTCCAGTTTTCTTAATAACTTGTAATACTTCATCGGAAGAAAGCGTGGATGTTACTAATACCTTTCTACCTTTTAAATCAATCTCTACATTATCAACACCTGTGAATAAATTTAAGTGACAGTATAATACAAGTATTACCCAAACCAATACTTTAGTTACTCAAATGATTTAGAAGTTTCGACTGTTACATGTAAATGAAAAAAATATGAGTAAACAATTATATTTTGAAATGAAAAAGGAATTTAAATAATATATATTAACTTATACATACCTTGCTTTTTATTGAGTACATTTGTTACAGCATTGGCACATCCTTCACATGTCATTTCTACATGAAATTCGTATACCTGAAATTGAAAAAATGTTTAACTTTATATAATCGTAATTCATATTTTGTTGTTATATCCTATTGTATGCTTTATTACCTGTGATGCCATCTTGGTAACCGGATATATACCGATATATATGTTTATATATTTATCGAGTTGACGTTGTTGACGTGGCAGCTTGGAAGTACTGTGTGATGAGTGCGAGAAAGTAATTTTAATTGAATAAAAAATAACTCTTATCTTGGCATTAAAACGATAAAGCACAGTTATTGGATACACAGAGAGTATTCTTTAGTTCGTTCACTTGCAGTCGAAACATAGTATGGAAGTAACTAATATTATATCCCTGGAAGATATACTGTAAAATAATACGTACAAACGAAAAGGTTAATGTATGAATCCGATTACATATTTCCTCGAAATGAAACATTTTCCTATATACTTATATATTTAGATATTCGAACAAAGAGGTTTCGAGACAAAGAAAATAATTTTATAGGAACAATTACAACAAATGTATATAATTCGTTATTAGGTGTTAAATAATTCGTTGTATACATTTCATAGTAATTTTATTCAAATCTTTCATGTATATACACATTGTACGGTCATAATTTTTTTTAATCTAGAATTTCTTATGTAGCGTAAAGATAAAATGTTTTCCTTCAAGATAGACTTACTGAACTAATTTTTTACTGTTTTTGCGAAATTGAACTTAAGTACAAGTTGTTTGGTGGTATGTTCACGTATGAAATGCGTATGCTGCATACGCATTATAATATATTAGACAAATTAGTACATAGCTTCGATAAATCCATGAAATTATACTTCATAAACAATTTTTTAAATTAGCAATTGGATTGTATAATCTATGTACTAATAATTCTACTGCAAATTAAAGAAATGTGATAATTGCGTTAAATGAATGAATTATATTTTATTGGCTACATATTTAAAAAGGGAAATCATAGTAATCTGTTCAATATTGTAATAAAAATATTTGTGATTTTTATGTATTTTTATGTCATTGCGTTATTATGTACATCTTCTTACACGAGTATTGTTCATAACACATTCATATATTTATCTCTAGTGTGGTTTTGCACATTCAGTCATATTGCCCTATGATATCATGTGATCATGAGTACATATGTATTTCTTGCATTCTAATCACTATTCAATACATCCTGGAATACAATGTTTCATTTAAACATAACACAGAATTATACTTACTTTGTTTCACTTTCAATTGATTGTAATGTTACGTTTAAGTTGTTGTTGGCTGAATAAACCATGTACGCGTATGAAGATGTTTAGTGAATTTAATAGTTATCTGATTATACTGAGACTAGGTTGATACGCCTGAAATTTAATTTCATAAGATAAACTTTCATTGGGATATTATTTATATCAATGTTTCATTCTAGTAGTATGTTTTGCAGTTTATAGGAAAAGGAATGCACTAATATTACAGAGACTTCTTCTAGCAAAGTTACATATAAAAGACAGTTAGTTTGCATGTACATGGTGTAAAAAAAGTATGTCATGGTCCACACAGATGATTTTGTACCCCTGGATCAGTGGAGATCTGTTAAGAAAATGTATAAAAAATTGTGAGCAAATTCGATATCGATGTATTATTACAAGACTATTCCCAGTAGCCGGCAATGTTTACATCCTGTCTGTATGTGACAGGGGTGAGATATTACATATATGGCTCGTGACAATGAGCCAAACACATTCGAGACTGATAAATCAGCATATGAGCCATGCAATATCTCACCTTTGTAGTCGATGACCATGTGGGTCACGTATAGCCGGGACGTCAACATTACCGGTTTTTAGAAATAGTCTTGTAATAATACATCGATCTCGAATGTGCTAAAAATTTGTTATATGCACATTTTCTTAACAGATATTCACCGATCTAGAAGTATAGAATTACCTGTGCGAACCATGACATATACTTTTTTTTACACCTTATACATTTACATACTTATTCATTTTTACAAGTAATATCATGTAAGTACATATACTTAAGTGATGTTCATGATAATTAATTATCATAAGAAATGTTATTTACTACAGTCTTAAAATATTCTTCTGATCACTCTAATAGAATACAGACAAAGGCCGCGATTTCCCAATTGCAATGGTAAGTACGAGCAAATATACCTGAACATGCAAAACGGGACAATTGTGAAAACCATGATTTGAATCTCAACAATGTTTTGAAATCATTTTCATGTACGCTTCTATCGACTTTGAGAATCCATGTTTCTTGCAAACTTTTCTTTTACATAAGATCGGAAAAATTAGAAGCAGTCGATATGTGAAAATATATTATTTGTTTAAGTGGAATAATACACATTTTTAATAGCCTATCAAGATAATAAGTCCAGCTTAAGACTCTGTGTTTTCTTTTAGAATAATACGACAGGAATACTTCATTTCTAAAGGACTAATTGGGTTATAGCCTGATAGCTGAGTAATTGTGAATCCACCGTCAAAGAAAGCAGTAAGTATTCTGAATGGCTCTACCACCAGACAATGATGAACTTTGTTGTTCCACAATGTTGTTTTGTTGTTCCAGTCTTTCCAGGGATTCTATACGTGTTCTTATAGAACCTCCGTATGTGCGCGCCTATATTATTAAAAAACACAATTATTTATTTTAGAATTCCTTCAGCAACATAACTATAATTTTTCTTAAATTTTCTGGGATTTACAAAATATATTTTGCAATAATGAGTATGCTACTTTTATCCATAATTGGTTGGTATTATTTCAAAGTTGAAGTTTGTGTCGAAAAAAGATTAGAAAATAATAATGTACTTGTCATATACAGAAAACCAGAAACTTTAAGAATATCTTTTATAGAAAAGCGAGCTCCTTGCCCCACGGTCATACTTTTCAAGAGCACCATTGTCTCTTGTGTTATCCAAAAAGTCTTCAACACTAAGAGTTGTCACACATTTGACATGAGGCATATTACATTTTCAATAATTAGACCTGCTAAAATACTAGTTACATGTATACTTTTATTTTGTTACATTGTATTAAGTTTCCACATTCGGATTTAAATTAACGAATTTGCACACGTAATGGAAAACAATAAGACAAAAATCTTATGAAGAGAAAAGGAGAAGACTGTAATGAAAATAACAAGAAAATAATTGTTCTTAAAATAATAATATGTAGTCTAAATAAGCGAAATTCGTATAAGTTTATTTTAAACTGAGGTCAATTATAATTACAATCATTTCAAAATAAATTATTCGCAGAATAACTAAAAACATATGTGTATGAGATTATGTTTAAATATATAAAACGTGAAGCATTGTGTAGTCAAGATTGAAAAAAAATAATACAATCAAATATTAAAAAGTACATCACATATATTTATAAACTACAAAACTTATTAAGTAATTAATACTTGCTATTATGGACAATCAAAAAAACATGAAAACATATAAATGATATGTTAATGATATCAAAATTTACATTTTAAACAAAGAAATAATAATGTTCGAATACTTACAAAATAATCCGAATATGGCACTACATGAACTACTAAGGAACTGATGAAACCTTTGTAAACACACGAATATTAATTTAGTACGTATTTTCAGCCGCACGAAAAATGGGTGCATCACTTTAATTGGTTATTTACTCACTGTCTGTAGATTAGACTTCAGACTGTGGGTGTTGGCCACTCGCGTTCACTCAAGAGGAGTTAGACTTCCACTGTTGACTCTTACTTCTCTGGGCTCCGGGGCTGCTGGAGGTCTTCTTTCTTGCGATTGTTGTTGATTTGTTACAGGCACATTATGATGTCCTGATCGTATTGCATGATTTGCCACAACATATTCTGTTAGAGTTACATCCGCAGTTCCACCAGATTCAAGAGGTATGGCGTTTTGACGGAAGTGTTCGAGCATGTTGTATATGGCAGGAAAAGAAAGGTGGAGTACTCGACAGTGACCTTGATCGCTTAACGTCATACGCAAATGCTGCAATATAGATTAGAAGAATTTTTATAAAACTGCTGCCATATTTAAGACGATTTAACACATTCGAGACCGATGACCCAGCATATCAGTCTTGCAATATCTCACCAGTCTAACCGATTACTAGTCACATACAAGACAATACATAAACATTGCCTGTTTCTGGAGATAGTGCTGTAATAATGCATCGGTCTCAAATCTATTAACTAAACAGTAATTTTACCTTCGCTCTGCCTTGAAAATTAACTGTTAATACAAATTCTCCTTTCCTTGTTCCACTTTGTCGAACAAGAAATACACCATGACCATAAGCAGCACTGTGTAAAACCAGATGTGCTGCGTCCGATCTAGAAAGAGTTCCATGGAACCATGGATATTCTCTTAAACTGCTTGATAAGTCTGTGTCCCCTTCGTTTGTAGGTACTGTAACAAGATTTTATTTTACCTAGTCTACAAACTGCACTGTAATAAATGCTTCTTAGAGAAAACTAAATCATACTCTGTTCAATATCTTGTTGTGAGGAACATAATTCCATATTACTGTTACTTCTTGTACGAAGCCTTAGAGGTATTTCTGGGGGATTGTTAGATGCCTCGTCTCCATGTTCATGGACTGCGGATCGGGAACTTTTACTGGCAGAGTTAGCCCTCAATCTATCATTTTCGTTATTAATACCTAGCGAACCATGCATTAAAGACTCTGTAGTAGCATCAGTACCAGAACTCGGATTAATAGAATTATGTTGTACCGTTCGCATACAATACTTAATGGTGGCCAACCATGATCTCATGTCATTCAAATTGTGAGCTTCTATGACAAATTCCACAAGGTTTGTCTTCAACACAAATGTATTCTCGTGATCTGGCATTTCCAATGCAGTCGTTTCTCTAGCTTCGGTTATTGCGGAACAAAATACACCGCTACGCGGTTTTACAGCTTTTGGAGGAGAATAAAGTTCTAACATGTATCCACCGATGGCTTTTATCAAGGCCAGCCTAGACTTTTCCCATTTTTGAGTACCATCGGTATTTTCTCCCATTAAGGAATTAACAATACCTTCTTTCCTACATTCTACTACAATCTTTGAAAGTTTAGCTTTCGAATGTTTTTCTTTACGATGTTCACTATGAGATAATTCCACCTCATCGCTTTGTTGTTTATGAAAGAAACTTTTACCCTTCTTGAGTCCTTTAAAGGACAATCGTCGGAAAAACGGTTTATGAACAGGTTTTGGCGATATTGCATCACCATCATGTTCTGAGTAATCACTGAATTCTTCGTGAGATGATGCACGAATAGGAGCATTATTGTTCTGACTGGTAATATTAACATCTCTATCATTAGGGACTGTCTGTCTAGTATCATAGATAGATGGTGATCTGTAAAACATAATCAAATAAATTATGATTTTAAATGCTCTACTTTGACATAACTCATAATTTTGTTTCGTATTAGGATACACGTATTAGATTTTTTTGTAAAAAGTAATACTTATCTAATAAAAAAAAAAGCATTAAAAATCGCATATAATTTTTTACTAGAATACGAGAGAAGAGTAGAAATGATAGAGAGAATGTATTTTTTATAGATTACAGCAGACCTGACTGTACGACGCAAGTATTCAGTTTCAAAATGTTCGCAGAAGCTTTCGACGAATTTCCTTAAAAAGTCGCGATGAGAGAGATTCGATCTGGCGCATTCGGGTAGATTTAAACTGACATAGGTACACAAAGCTTTGGCAAAATCGGAAGCCGAAGTGCGGGCGTGTCTCTCACAGAATTCTATCCAACCAGGTGCAGCTTCGGGCGACACGGCAACCGCCGGCACCGTTGTTGTTGTCGGCGTAGCCGTCGTCGTCGCTGTTACCGTTGCCCCTGCCGTCGTAGTCGTTGTTGTCGTTGATATTACTGTGCTTATTATTGGTGTCGGCGTAGTTACGGTATATAAACTCATTACCTGCGTCTGCTCTCGCGAAGGGGGCTAAAGACCTCCCCCCTGTCACTACACAGCTACGCAAAATTCTTTACAAGACCGCGAATCTCTGCATACAGAAAGCACACAATCGCATACACCAATAGGTACATCTATTTACGAATCTCTATTACGCTTCTGCGTGTCAGCTGTACAGCGGAACAAGTGTAAACAAGATAGCGTACGAACAAATTCTGTTATTCTTTCTATGAAATTATTGACATCGATGATAAAATCATCGAACGCACTTGCTTTTGAAACAAGACGAACAGATATTATTTCCATTAGAGTAGGATGAATCGGTGAGAAACAATTATTAACGATTTTAACGAATTGCAAATGATTGCAATATACTGTTGTTGGCACAATATTTCCCCGTGCCTTTCAGTGACGATTAGGATATCTGCACAAGAGGAAACGATGCCGACGATTGTCGCTTTTCTAATTCTGTCCGAAAAACATACTGCCGTACACAAATAGAAGATTCAAAGAAGTAGCCTGCCTGATACTTTCTCACTTACACAAAGGTACATTCTCACACTTACGACTCACTGTCTGTATAAGACCGCATGTTTTTCGGCCAGAATTAGAAGAGTACCGATCGTCGTCGCCATTCGCTTACTTATACAGCAGCAGCCGCAATATTTACATACTCAACACTGCTCAACACAGCCATGATCATAGATGAGGTATAGGGATAGACCAATTCAACTTACGGGGTTTCATGTTCCACGAGAACTATAGTACCGACGTCTTAAAATTCCAATTAACGGTCTCCACATTACAAAAATGGTGAATTTGGCAAGTATATTTTATTTACCCATCCAAATTGTGTTGATATAGCCACTAGCCACTTACAGTCTTGCCAAATCTGAAGAATGCAAAGATGTTTTTCTTATTGTGAGAAATTTGCCCGAAAATTCAGAATGAAGTTATTTTCAATGAACGTTACTTTAAACGGATTTGGGAACTTGAAAGTTTTAAAAATCTAAGGAGGTACTTATGTATTTAGTCATTATTTTTTCATACTGCAACCGTAGCTTACAGTTTTCTTTCTATAATATATATTTAGTGAGATTTTGACATTTTCGACAGCAACTAATAAGTTGCTGCTATGTTCGCCATCATTTTCCGCCTTTGTTTTATATTACCAAATGCGAGACTGAAGAAATAAAGAATGAGTCCCGAGCCCTAGAATTACGAATTCCTTTCAGTTCTAAATGGTTATACACGGTTGTCTGACTGCATACGAACTTGTCGTGTGGTGTGTGTAACGAGTGCTATCCCGAATGCACTGGAATGGACCAAGCTCTAAAAAATATGATCTCGTACAACAGCGTCCTCCAGTTCAGTCCAGCTTGTCTCTTTAGTCTTTAGAGACAAAAGTCGTCCCCCATTATCGTCCACTTTTATTATGGCCATGGCGTAGAGACGCGAGACTAATACGATTACCAATACGATTGTTTGTCGCGGAAAGAATCGTACCGTCTTTTATTGATCTTCGATTTTTGCAGCAATTGATAACCGCGTGTTTATAGCTCTTATGATGATATCATCGTTCTATAATCTGCACATATAGAATGTAGATTTTGAGCTGTCATTGCGGAGGGGCAATTTATGAAATACATGAAAGATGGAAAAGAAAATATTTGCGGGAAATTATAATCATTGCATTGTTGTTACTCGTATGTATGAATAATTAATATGCGCGTTGAGTGTGACGTTCTGAGCTACCTTCACTTAGAGACCCTTTAATTAGAATCACGGAATCATGTCTTATCATGTCTATGAAGTTAAACATACCGCTATACGCTATACTACACCGCCATTTATAACACCTTTGTCTAAAAATGGCGGCACCAATCAAAATCGGGGACGAGATTTCGTAACTCTGATTCCTCTGATTAGACGGTCTCTAGTTCACTCTAAAGGTAGAACCCGCCGTCACAACAAAACCACGTGTCTTTTGCAGAGACTCATTTTATTCTGACGGATTCAATTTTTTACGTGAGCAGACAGAAATACAGTTACTATTATATCTCTATCTTGACCTGCCAACTGCTGGATAGTTTCACGGAATTGTAAGGATAAACTATCCTGGATAGCATTGCGATTGTATACATACATATATTGTTGCATGCTAAAAAGATTCGTAACGCTATCTACAAAAAACATCTGAAATACTGGGTAATTTTTTAGAAATGAGTATTTAATTGGGTCATCGCAAAAAATCGGTTGCACCATTTACGGTATTACCCAGGTATTAGTAGTTATATAGTTACAGTTAGTTATATGTACATAGTTGTTCACCCTACAGCCTACAGTAGGATTTCTACACTTGCCTCACGGGGTGCAAGCAAGTTATGCTATTTTTTGAAACATCTAGGAAGTAGGAGTTGGGTGAACAACTCCAGTAATGCCCGCTCAACTGTCGTATCACCGATCATATTTGGTATCATTTCCATTGGAAAAACCTCAGCAATTTTATCAAAATAATCCCATAATTATAAAATAAAAGGATATGTAAATTTTATTATTTTTATTTTGGTGACTCATGAGTACCTATACATAAAGATTCTTTGATTACGCGTTACAGTATTTAGTTACAAATAATGCGGACGTTTGTCTGTGAGAACAGTTCAGGAATTGGTGGGGATAATTTCACGATACTTAAGTAAAAATGCAACAATTAAGCGGGCATTATTATTGTACATATATATTTCGTTCGACGGTGTAAATCGCGATCATTTGAAAACCAAAGCATGAAGGTCCATAAAGTAAATATTATTTTGTTGTATCTTTTATTTAGAAAATTTTTATGTAGGTAGATCTAACATATACTTTGAATGCGTGAATTTTTTAAAGATGTATTATTGTTTGAGCATTTTCGTTACCTTTCTATGTAACGTGTTACACACACAAGTATGTACACATCCACATGAAGGTTGTGTATTCTATACACAATTTTCTATAACTTTCCATACAAGTGAAAAGTGTAAATGTCGACGAAGAATTGTAAAAGATTGTTTAAATCCTAAAAATCATGTAACAAGGTATATTTGTCGTTTCATTTTTCTTTTTTTAATTGTGAAAAACAATCTAAAACTAAAACTGGTACAATTGTGTCACTTTTAACATTGCATGAATTATTTTTCAACGGCTAGTACACATAATGTTAACCACCAGTTATTTAATTGTCCAAATTATAAATCTCAAACTACTTAGCGTTTTTCTTTCTTTTAATTTAATTCAATTCTTGTAATATAATGTAAGAATTAAATGATTTAATTCTTGTTGTTTTCAATTAATTTGTGTATAATATGTCGTAAACTGGTTTTGGAAGATAATCACTACATAAAGCCTGTATCCTTTCTGTACGTGAAACTGGTGTATACCTTCTCATTGGGAAAGTTTTTGTTATGCCATCTGTTAAAGCTCTAGTTACCGGTGTTAAATCTGCTTCTGGACCTTGGGTATACTTCTCTAGAGCTAACATTTCCTTTTGAAATAATTCTTGACCATATTCTTTGCGAGTTTGAGGATCTAACTGAGTCCACATGTCTCTAGCTTGTTCAAGTAATGCGCTATTATCTTTTAACCACGCATTTCCAGACACATATTCACCAGTTTCAATAATAACTACATCTACACCCCATCTTCTCATTTCCATTCTAAGGCAGGTTCCCCAAGCTTCGACTGCAGCCTATTACATGTGTAAAGCATTCTTTTATAATCTCACTGAATCATACAATATAATAATAACATAAGAAAATAATTCACCTTAAGGGCGCAGTAAATGCCCCGAACTGGACTTGGTATACGAGCTAAGAGACTGCTGACTAATACAACACGACCTTTCGATCTTCTAATTAGTGGTAGAAAAACCTTGAAATAAAAATATTATTTGCTTATTAATATGTTTCATATTTTCTGTGCTGAAGTATAATTAGTAAGATTACCTGAGTTAATCTAGCAATACCAATGAAATTAATATCTATACTGCGTTTCAATACAGGGGGTGGTACCCACTCGCATTCTCCTAATGTTACCCAAGCTGCAGCGTGTACCAATGCCCATAGACCTAATGTAAAATGTATGCAACAAAATTTGAGAAGCTGTTGTATATAACAAACAAACCGTTAAATGCTCAAGAGTAGCTGTAATTTTATAGACCTGGTGCACCATCCGGCAAATTCTCATTAACATAAAGAAAAGTTGAATGGATATCGTGTTCACTGGTAATATCTAACTGTAATACATGTAACCTGCCAGAAGCTTCATGCTTTAATTTTTGCATTGCTTCTTCATATTCTTCTTTATTTGAAAATCCAGCAAATACTGTAAATCCCTTAAAAATATACATATATGTGATCGTACAAGTATACATAGTATATGTAGGTAGTGATATTAATTCTAGTAATAGTATATGATATACATCTTACCAGTTCATCTAATTGTTTACTTAAATTGTATCCAACTCTCGAATCACATCCCGTAACAAGAACTGCCTTTCCAGCAGCAGTTACCTAACACCATTTACATGTCTATGCATTAATAAGAACTTATATCACTTCTGTATTTATCATAGAATTAGAAAATTATGTTTAAAGGCAAAACACAAAATTCTTACTATGCTATGCCTTATCTCAATTGATATTTATGATCAATAAAGAAATGTACTTTTATGTAGTTAAAAATTAGTCATAGTGAAATTGACACGATTTATTTTAATAACTATAGTGGTTTTAAACGAACATAGTAACACTGTTTATTGTAATTTTATTTGAATTACTTATGGAAGTAAAGTGTGTAATTTAAACAACATACCTTCAGATTGTGATAAAAGAGAGTAGATCCTATGGATACAACCAACAATAAGAGAAATAGCACAAAACTAGACGTCTGCGATATACCTAATGTATTCAGTACAGTTGCTAAGATGACTGCAACAGCGTGTGAACATGCAACTGGAAGAAAACACCTTTCAGCTAATTCCCATGTTTGACTGTCATCTGGTTCTTTGTTGCCACTTGATAAAGGCATTTCTGATTGAGGTTTATCAATATTCCAAACAAATTAAATCAGTTCCATTCGGATCAGATTTGTGGCTCAGCTAAGAGCCCTAACTGAGCTAACTCTGAGCTAACTTTAAATTTAAAACAGTATCTAGTTTCGTTGATCTAAATTTAACTGCAGTGCTGTGTCTTTAAGTCCAGAGATCCTAGTAAAAGCGTATATCGTACCACAATATTCTTCTTAAATAATTTGTTAAACATTTCATGTGCAAATCAAAGTTAACATTTTAAAAGATGTCTATATATATATATATATATGCTTCTTTAACAAGATGTCTGTAATAGTTTTTATGGATGATTCAACAGAAAAAAAGAAATGCTATTTATAAAGGAGCTTTAACAATAATGGGTAAGGTGTAGCTACAGAAATAGCTTTCATTGTATGTATACAATAACATTTTTATCTTTTTTTTTTTGGAGAATATTTCTTATTCCATTTTCGATGTACAGTTTAATGCAATATAATGTATGTATTCGAAATTATGATCCGTTTAGAGTCATAATCGTTATTATATAAAATAGGTGTATATTAACTCATTTGTGCTGAAATTTATTCCATTGAATTATCATTAAGTATATTATCTTTTAGAAACGTAAACAGTTTGGTACCAATAAAAAAAATGTGAATACTATTTAAATACAGTGGGGTTTTATTATTGATCTCAGTGTAGGTGCCATGTTGGGAGGGAATACCATGAGGGTGCTCTCGTTTGTATCCTTCGTATCATACCGTCGTACCGTACGCGGTAGTCTACAGAGAATATAAATAGGAGGGGTAGTTGCACCATTGACCCAGTGTTGAGTTGACGTACGGTCAGTTCAGTCACTCGAACGTTACTCGTCTTTATAAGCTTTTCAAATTTTTTATTCGTACATGCGATTTGTTATTAAAGGTCATAGAATATCTCAGTAAGAACCAACGATCCAATGCAATCTAAAATACTGCCCTTTCTTACCTATGCTCCAAACATACAACTTTATACCCGAGAATCATTGACATCTATCTAAATAGTGTTTTAAGCATCGCTATAACGTTTTTCTATCGAAAATTAAAGAAAAATTGTTCGTGACCGGTGACGAGTTTACACTGTTTGTCGATTAGCGCGAATACGAATCGCGTGCTGCAATTTGATTTAACGATATCGGTAGCATTAATAAACTGATGTGCAACGATAATCAAGCCTTAGTAGCAGTCAATTCTTTTAATGAAAGTAAACTTTTAATGACATAAATTTAATATAGTGAACTGACGTTCGTTTGAAGTAAAGAAATATAGACTTCTTAGTGAGCTCTTTTAAGATTGATTTCTTATTTGTAAGTTGAAGAAATTAACTAGTATTGCAAGAAATCGTTTGTGTTTGCCCTTGGATGCAGAACTTACAATAGTTTTAGAACAAGATGGTAATGTAAAATCTTAATTTACCTTATTCAATTGTTTCTTTTTAATGATAATGTACAGATGATTTAATATATGCAATTTTCGTTTTGTTAGGCACAGAAGTAGATGACGAAGAATATTTTGCAACATTGGAAAGAAACACTAGTCTAATGATTTTACATGGAGATCAAAAATGGGTAGCTGCTGGCAGTAGTAAGGCTGCTTCTCGGTACATCGTTGTCGATGATGTAGATAACATAGAGAGTGATTCAAGGGGAGGTGAACTCAGAAGGTGTCGGCCACCAATAGAACCATTGGTCTCCTCATTGCATGGCGATCCATCTCACATATCACTGCTTGGTGGGAGTGATTTAGAATTGCTTAGTGATATGGATCCAGACAGCTTAGCTGACATAGTACCCGACAGGTATAGGATTATGTTTCAAAATGACCTAATCTATATCTGTGAAAAATGTGTATCATCCTCTGCTTTAAAAATTATTGTAGAATTTTCTTGGAGCAATTGAAAGAAGCCTCAGGTAGATTTTTGGCTGAAAAACGGCAAGCACAGGAGTCTATGGCTCTTCTTCAGATGTATGCAAGTGGCGGGGAGATGGAGCGAGCGTAGGCCATGTGGGGGGTGGGCGCCCTCACATTGGCTAACATGTATCGAGTACGACGTCGCATATTTTACAAAGGTCGTCAACTACAACAAACTTTAATCCTTTACTGGAATTGAGCCCATTGCGTATATAGTGCAACATTCTATTGCATTACCTACTACCATTGTGTATTGATCATGAAAATTGAATGTTCACATCGTCAATGAAAATCTTGGAAGTTCTTCTGTGCAGAGTTTTGAAAGGTGCGATGGAAATTGAAAGAAATACTGGGACTAATATGTTCCCATATTTGACAGATGGTCAAAAGTCGTTTCTGAAGTATTTGCAAGTATCTATTAAATATGTGAATACATAAATTTATTAGCAAAGAAGAGATGCATTAAAAGGTGATGCTTGTCCATATTATAAGTTAATACTATAAGAATATGTAGTTATACTTTATATTAACCCTTATTGGTCGTACATCACCTTTGACGTGACATTGCAGTTGTACCATGTAAGTCGTGTGTCACGTGGAGGTGACATGACTGAACAGGTTGGAATCTTCTAATTCCGACCCAATGGCAAGTTATACAAAAAACGCTTAGCATTCCATAAGGGTTGACAGTAAATTGTTTTCAGTGTCATTTTTTTATTTTATGCAAACCAATAGCACAAATATGCTTCACTGTTAATTAATTTGTAGAGTATAACATAAGGAATTGCTTTCCTGTAAAATGAGGTCTTAAATACTCTTATATAGTTGCGTACGTGCAATTTAGCCGTTGAATAATCTGAATGTACTACTTAAACAGAAACTATATAGAAATATTATGTCAAAGAAAACATTCCGTCACGATGTTGTCATATCAGTATTAGCAAAAGGACGACATGTTTGGTTTATGAACTTTTGTACGTAGATATATTATATCAAGTTTTAGTTCAACGAAGATCGATGAAATGTTTAAGACTGAATAACCAAACAAAGTTATGCATTTGATAAGAAAAAAAAAAGCAGAAAACTTGTGCAGGTGTTTCTGAAAAGATTATGCATACGCAAAGTAAACTGTGTATCAAGATAAAGTTCATGTAGTTATATCTGTACCTATTATAAAAGGAAGATAGCTTCTTAATATTCTAAAGTGTTAATCTAACATTCAACGTCTATACAATGATAATAACTATGAATTTTAAAAGCAGCAAATTTAATAGCTTATGTTTACTCTTTGCAGAAACATTCTTACCGGAATATCGTGACATTCTTTGATATATATACCTTAATATCTGTATGTTACAAAATAATGTCCACGTTTATTGTCATTTCGATATTTAAAATGCAACGATCAGGATGCGAATGCGTCAGTAATTATAAATTTGTTCTGTATGTCGTGACTAATGATCTTTCTTTATGACACATTGAAAAAAAGTAATATTTTAATTAAGTTCTAAAACACACTAGGAAACAATTGATACATATAATAGAACTGCCAATGAAAGAGAACAACTAATGCTCAATAAAATATATTCTACCCACCAAATCCTTTGAGAGTAGCATGCGTGTTACTTTTTTTTTAAAACTTGTACTAGTACCTAATACATTAATACTGATATCGTACTATCGTTATCTTTATTATTAATGTTAACACGATCGTCATTACCACTATTATTAATATGATCTTATGTTTATTGATACCTATTAAGTATTCTACATATTTAAGTAAATTAAGTTTTAACAGAGTGTAGAAAATTGACGTCTATGAGCTGATGTAAGGCATTTGAAGCATCCTTTGCTCGACTGCAGGCACTACGCAATTGACAGACAGCCTCTTGAAGAATAAGTTCACTTTTTAACAGTTGTCGATTAACTGATGACAATTCCTGCGCGGCGGTGCCGATCGTATCTTCGGTCGTTTGTGTAAGATCCTTATCTAATGTTTCGTTGCATTCATCTGTTTTATTATAAAATACATCATATATATGTACATACTTAAAATGCAGAATGCTTCTAAGTACTTGATGTTTAAGGTAAAATGAAATCAGTCTGAATTCGTAGAAACTGAGACTATTCGTATAATTATGTTACTATACATTTTTCTGCATCAGAATTATTAGGTAATATTCTAGCAATAGTTACCTGTATTGTATTACTACAGCATTAATAAAATGATGTTAACAAACTCTAATCACTTGAATTAAATGCTTGAACTTACATAATTTTTTATGTAGTAAACTGTTGTATCTAATAGAATCCTTTTTCGATTTGGGTATTTTAATTTCAGCGTAAGGCATACAAGCCATAGCATCAACTGCTCCACTGATGCTACTTAAACTTGTTCCATCTGGGAAAGCAAACTTAAATTAGAGAAGAGATACATTTATATTAAAGGTTTGCTTGTGTTGCTGTGGAAATAAGAGAATTATAAAAAGAGACCTACCATCGTCGGATTCAGGAGCTTCACCAGAAATGATGGTACCACAGTAATTAGGATTTCGTACAGAAGAAAACCCTACACCCTATGTAAAGTAACGAAATATTCCTTGTGAGATTCTTGTTTCTTTTGATACACAATGAAGATGTAAAATAATCTGAGAGTGACATACAGTGGCAATATTTGCATTGTCATCATCAGATTCTGGAGCTTCTCCAGAGACAACAACCGCCTTTAAATCCATGTTATAGCCGTAAATAATAAATTCTTAAATAAACTCTTGATGCCCTTTCTACGTTATGACCATGTATTCAAAAGTTTAAATGTGAAATTCAGTGGAATAATTACAAGTTAGAAAAAACTAATTACAAACTGTTTATATACTTCTATTTTAGGAAACCCATGTTTCTTCTTCCATAGCTTACTGTAACGGTAAACATAATTTTCTACGTGAAAATCAGTAAAGATAACATAACGTAAAGTTGTCCGTTAGAAACAAAAGTTAACTTAACCTGTATTGTTCTGCTGAGATTGATGTATTATATAGCCAAATGCATACCTAACCCAAACACCTTAAATATAATTTATGCACTATTTGTGTTGTGTATATACTTCTATAATATATATATATACACACACTTCTGTAATAAGATACTGTGGTAATTTGTATACATAAGTAGAAAGATTAATTCACAAACAATTGTTTCTAACCATATTTATATATATACATGCATACATACGTAAATACATATATGATATATATGTATGATATACAATATATATCGTGGGGGGTCACTGTTTAAGCACGACATTTGGTTTGGCATTGTCTTTCATGATGTTGTCGCAAATGAATTATTTGTCGTCTCTATTAAAGTAAATGTATTATTCTATGATTTTTTAATAAGTAGACGGTCGGTAATATGTAAAGAATAAGTCAGTAATAATGTGTTCATATACAATATGTTTATATAATCGTTGATTTCCAATACAACATGTTTATATCACACAGTGTTAGTACAAAAAGTTACTAAACTACTATTTACATACATATATAAATAACAATTAAAATTAACCACGCAAGATGTCCAATTCTTCAGGCGTAACATGCATTCTTAATTCCTTTTCACGTATCACATCCTGAATTTGCGTGAGTAGTTGAGGCGCAACTTCGGCTGCATCAATATACATGCTTCTGACCCAAGGGCATTGCATTACGCTCTTATGATACACTTCTTCTCCTTTCTTCTCGCATAAGTTACAATCTCTGAGGAGAAGCATGTATAATCTCCATAGCAAAGGGCAACACCTGGTTGTTGGTACACTGTAAATGTACATTTTCGTTCTTCAACTGTAGAAATAAAACGCGAAAAATTAAGAGAAATTAATTGAAAACATACCGTGCAAGTGTCTCATGAAAATGCAACAATTTATTTATTGCCGCGTTCATAGCGACAGAATCTTCAAATTCGCTTAACGATTGAATGCGTTTACGACATGCCAAAACCATGGCGAATGCTCTCCATAAGTGAAGTTTCGTTATCTGACTATTAAACTTCCAAATTGGTGACTCACTCTGTCAAGCAAATATTAAAATCAATATATTACGTGTCATACTCTGAAGAATATATTTTTCCATTTCAAATGTTACAATCTCTACCTCAATGCATGCCAATATCGAAAGAGCAAAAAAGTTACTTGGATATAAATTTAACATTTCGTTTAATGAATTTTTTAAACTGTTCACTTCTTGAGTTTGTCTGAAATGCAACTGTAAAAGTGCAATTTGACTTTCGTATAATATTTCCTGAAATATAAATTACTGTACTATACATATTTAATACATACTAATTTATCTTAAGTATAAAGAACGGTACCTGTATACAGCGACACTCTTTGTAATGATTTATACAATCTGCAAATATATTCATTGCCTTAGCAATATCGAAATCTTCTGTGTACAACAGATATGCATAGCATATGATTGTGTCGCATTTCAAATTCGGTAAGAAGTACACGTTGTTTTCATCATCCATAGGAACTTCACTCAAGAAATTTTTCACACAATTTGCTAAATATTCTTTTGCATAAAGCAATTGATTTTCTCCTACTCCAGCAATCATTTGTTCAAAAGCGTTCAATATTCGTGCCTTATGCGTTTCTTCGTATGTATCAGCGTTAAGTAAAACTTCAATGAGGGCTCGATATAAACTGAGAAGTGCTGCCCTTTCGTTGGAATTAGGTATCGCAGATGGACAGGCACACTGAGACTGAATTGCCGTTTCCAAAATGTTCACGCAACTATCAAATCTTCCCATTTCCTTCTCTATCAGTGCATACTCTTTATAAAAATGCAAGTTGTTTCTATTCTCCTCTCTTTTTAAGAATTCCTTTAATGTTGCTTTTAACTTTTTTCCCCTGCAGGAGATATACGTATATATTATCTCAAAGTGATTACAATCAAAAAGTAAAAGGAAAGAAATCATACTTGTTATCATATTTTGAGGAGTCTTCTTTACGAAGAAAGATAAGCAATCTTTCAAATCTTAACCACCAGATATATATACTTGTACGTTGCGCAGTTGGCAAATTTTCGGCGATTGTAGAAAAAGTCTCTCGTATAAAATCCAAGTACGATTCTTGTGCAGGATGAAACATAAGGTATTGAGGGCCGGACGTTAATCTCCCTTCAAGTATACCATTTAGCAACTCTCTTCTTTGACTACTACCAGTCATTTCACCAACTACAGGATAGGCAAAAGGAAGTAAAACTTCTGAAGTTTCTGTTCCCCATTCAAAATTATTCAAGGATAACATCTAAGAATGCAGAAGAAATACATAAAATGTAATATCATTTTTTAATGATATGAACAACGTGAAAGGCGGACTTTTATAAATACGACATAGATGTAGATGTACTTGTAGTATATAGTCTCGAGTAGGTAGAAGCGGTACTTTAAGTAGAAGGAGTGTGTGCATTGCCATCTGAAAATTCAAATTCCGTGAAAGTATAGGATGCACAAAGTCTGCAACATCATCTGGCAAGACGAATCTTCGAGAATCACCGGTTAACTCCAATTCGTCTCTGCTCACACTGACCCAGTGACAATTTTCTCTCAAAGATTCTGTTCTTTGCCATAGTTGATTAAGCGGTAATCTTGACATTAGTATTACTTCTTCCATTCCAACTGCAAATCGGTATTCGTATTAAAGTTAATAAATGAATTATTTGTTTACCTATCATTAATTATAACAATTCATACTTAATTTTTTTTCATCTATTGTTTTTTTAAAGGATAAGCTGTCTTTATTTAAGTTAAGATTCAAACAAAGATTTAAACGTATTGTTTCCCACATTTGCTCCCAGAGTCCAGTGTGCCTTAGAAACGTTAGACACCAAAACAGCATTTCTATTTGTAACAAGTAAAGTTAAACATTTCTATCAAATTCAATTCAATACAATAATCGAAGCAGGTCGTAGTCTATTACATACGTAATAATCGTTCGTCGTATATTCGAGGATTTGTTCTAGCTTTTTGTTTTAAAATGCAAAAACACTTTAAATACAAATCTATAACTTTCGGTACAGTACACATCGCTACCGAAGCCTGTGTAGCCATAATGAATTCTTGCCATAAAACTGTGTTTCCTGAGTCTTTGTTCACTAATGTTTCAAGCTGCTTTGAAAACTCATCAGCTGGTAAAAGCTCTCCCATTAGAGATAATTTTAATTTTAATAACTCAGTGGATTCTACATTTATTTCTATAGCTTTCTCAGTTATAGATAATTTTTTCAGTATTGTTGCTCTATGACTATCTTTTATTCTTTGATATTTTTGGAAATGTCCCAATGTGTCCTGCAAAATGTTATTAATGCATGAGGTATTGATAATTTTACTCAAACAGATGGAGTTATACCTGAAATTGAATGTATTCAAGCCACAGATTAATATTATTTGGATCATCGGTTAACTTCTCGTTAAACTCTTTAGTTTTGTTTCTCTGTAATTCTTCGAAGTTAATATTCCATGAAGAAGAGCATTCAGTTTCATTAAATGAATTGGTAGTAGATTCCTTTGTGATAATGCTACTTTTCCTCTTAGTTTTCTCTATAAGATCTATTTTGTTGACATAGTACCTTTCGTAAGGAACTCTTTTTGGTTGCTCGTATGAAATAAAACCAAGAGATTTTCTCTGAATATTGTAACGGGGTCTTACCCTAGAACAAAGTGTCTTTACAGTATTATTTCCCTTATCTCTATATTTGTCTTCAAAATATACATTTTCCACTTCTTGTTTATAATCTGGTTTATTTATTATCTTGTGTTTCCTTTTCTCTTTCTTCCTCTTTTTGATATACTTGTGACTTTTTCTTTCCCTAATATCTGTTTTTTATCTGAATAAGGAACTTCGCTGGCAACTTCATCCGAAGACTCTGAATGTAGATCAATAAAATTGCTGGAGGAAATTTGTTCTAGACAACTGTAATTATGTAACCAAGTGGTTGATTTGTCCCCTACAATTTTGAAACGATTTTATTGTAGTAAAAATAATATAAATAAGTTGTTGGCAATAGTCATAGTAACCTTCTAAAAGATTTTCTGGCGTATTGGATTCAACAGATTTATCTGTTTTAATTGAATAAGCAGGAAATAAGGCCATGTTTTCCTAATTTTGTACTTCTAACAATCTCGTAGAAGCAACATTCCGTTTTCTAAATAAACAGATTACATATACGAAACGTCAATGACATCGTGATGTGAACAAATTTTCAATGATTATACATATGTATATGTTTATACATATAAGTATGTTCATGGGTACGTATAATATGAATGATATGAATATGCAGTGACAGAATGAGAAATTCGTACAATATAGCACGAAAACTGTATACCTATTTACGCGATGATTGGCCGAAGTGAAATAATGGCACGACTGACGTATAAACGGCTGCCGCTAGGGGAACAAAAGGCATAGGGAAAACTGAAATTTACGTTAAATTTACATTCATTTTAACATTTTCTCTATAAATACATGAATTAAATTTACCAAGTGCTAGGGTAGGCCCTTACTCATGCCACTTTTTACCCTAGCGGAAGCCGAGTTTGCTCGCGTGTAGTAATGGAAAGACTTCCTAACCCTCCTTCCAGTTGGTTTCGGAATTACTAAAATTTATACCAAATTAACATTCGATTTAATATTTATTTCAGGGCTTGAAATAAATTAACAAGTAGTAAAAGGGCCCTTCTCCCACGACACTTTTTCCCCTAGCGGAAGCTGAGTTTACCCGCGAGGGATGCATTTGATTTATATCATTTACTTTACAATGGTTACATCATGAAAATAATACGAATTATCTGGATGATAGATGTTATCATGTCGAAGGACATGGAAAACCGATTGTCACCGTTGAGCGATAATGGATGAATGGATATAAATTATAACGCATAATACAGTTCTAACGAAGCCATCGGATAGATAAGTATCCGAAGATTATGCCCATCTTGAAGAAAATTGAATTATACATATAATTTTTTCTCCTTATAAAGGGAATTTCAACTATATACTCGCGTTTCTTTATCGAACGTAGAGGTTATACAATAATCTAATCATTAGATTATTACTACGCAGTAGAAATTATTTCTACTTGAGAAGGTACGTTACCTAAATGCATCGCAAAATTAATATTGTTAAAACGGTTTTCGGTGCTGCGTATTCGTCTACGTCTACAGAGGCTTCCGTTACACCGAATACATCATCTAGGGTAAGAATGTTACACTTTCTATTGATTCAGTTAATAGTATTCCTTTGTCTTTTCACCTTTACGTAATACAGATTTGACTTCGTATCACTGTGTATATATATACATTTATTATTACAATTTCTTATTACAGATAATAAATTAAGTTGTTATTTCACTACATTATCGGGCGGTCGACTAAAATTAGTGGTTGTGAAAACTTCTATAAACGGCCGGGCGTCTAAAAATAGATGTTTTGGACTCACGGACATTCTGTCTGTAATGCAAGTTTTTGAACTTAATTAAAAGTATTTAAAATTCTACGGAATTGTAAATATGTGATAATACTTCTGTAATGTTTTTCCGTAAAATGGAAAGTTGTAATGCTGGCCGTGGACTGCAGTCTGCGCGAAGAGGAGTAGCCGGCTGTAGACAGCTGTCGGCGCAGAACGTCGCCGCCGGATAGTGTGTTAAAAGAATTCGAAATGTATGCATTGTAACATTGACCTTGTTGAAGCTTTTTACCTGTCTAGGTGTAAGAGGATTAGATGTACTGGTAAAGTTTATGCGATAGAGACAGAAAGGTGCATATGTAAAAGAACATAAATGCATTGTGCGTATTATTAGTTTCATAGGGGGCTAATGTATGCATAATATTAGTTTTATAAGTATAACAGGAGATATTGATGAATGACCTTAATTTCCTTTTATTACAGGTACAGCAATTCAAGGAATTATTACATAAAAGTAAAAATAATGGTATGCTTACGGATTCTTTTGGACGGTACCATACTTATCTACGGATTTCTGTTACAGAACGATGCAACCTTCGATGTAAGAAATATTGCAGCTGTATTTAACAATATGAGTAGACTAATCTGATTAAATATTGTGGATTACACAGGTTTGTACTGCATGCCGGCGGAAGGAGTTACATTGACAAAGAACGATGGTATCTTAAGAACAGAGGAAATTATTAAAATAGCGGATTTATTTGTAAAGGAAGGTGTACGTAAAATACGTTTAACGGGTGGCGAACCTACCGTTCGGAAGGACATCGTCGATATTATCGGTAAACAATATCATCTCCAGTGTATACATATATCATCGGGCGTTAAATTTTCTGATATAACGAAAACAATTATTGTAGCCGGTTTAAAAGAATTGCCTGGTTTGAAGCAAATTGCAATTACTACTAATGGTTTAACGTTAACGCGCCAATTGCCGTCTCTTCAACGGGCAGGACTAGACGCTATAAATATTTCGTTAGATACATTAAAAGAATATCGTTTCGAGCAATTTACTCGTAGGAAAGGTTGGTCTAGAGTCGTAGGTGCAATAGATTTGGCTATTCAACTGGGTTATAATCCTGTAAAGGTGAGGAAACAATAGAATTGTTTTGATATTAATAGCCACCCTAGTGAATGATCTGCGATTAGATGCATTTATACTTTACCCTTCCTGTACAAACTTTTTAGGTGAATTGCGTGGTGCTGAAAGGTTTCAATGACGATGAGATAATTAATTTTGTTAATTTAACGAAAGATCGCCCGATTGACGTACGTTTCATCGAATACATGCCTTTTCAAGGGAACGATTGGAACGAAAATAAAATGGTATCGTTCGACTCAATGAAAAGGACAATCAGGGACGTATATCCTGATTTATGTCGTCTTCCAACCGAGTACAACGAAACGTCTAAAGTGTGTTACATTGAAAAAACTATACATAAAATATAACTTAGAACCAGTAACTGTATCCGCCTGTCATTAACACGTGTATCGTTCCTTCGGTACAGGCATATCGTGTTCCTGGATTTAGAGGACAAGTCGGGTTTATTACGTCGATGAGCCAACATTTTTGTGACACGTGCAATCGATTGAGGATAACAGCGGACGGAAACTTAAAGGTCTGCTTGTTCGAAGGAAAAGGGGAGGTTTCACTCCGAGACGCTTTGCGCAATGGAGCATCTGATGAGAGTTTGAAAGAAATGATCGGCATGGCGGTGCGACGTAAAAAGAAGCAACACGCCGGTAGGTTTAATCATCAATCCTCGGTGGTGGAAATCTATATACGAAGCGATAACGTTTATATGTTCTCGATAACATGTGTGTTTCAGGAATGTTCAATTTGTCCCAGATGGAAAACAGGCCAATGATTCTTATCGGGGGTTAAACAATTATTATTTCGGAAATTTTATGCTAGTACGGAACTGTTTTTTCCGGGGATATGCGTAAAAACGTTATCGCTCTATCCACATATTGCAATTAGTAGTCAGAAAATCTCTACTTTAGCGGTATACGATCGCGAGCGTAATGCCAATTGTTTGTGCTTACAGTTGAAAAGAATCGCGTACATGTCGGAAGTTGTAAGAATGCGTGGCAGAAGGACGGTCCACGTGAATATATAACGCGAACGCCGTTTTGCTTGAACAGATTTGGGAACGTAAGAATGTTTTCCTCATTGTCGCATGTGGATAAACACGGCAAAGCGAGTATGGTGAACGTCGGTTCGAAAGTTGAGAGTAACCGCGTCGCGATAGCAAGAGGAATCGTGCAAGTTGATTCGACTGTAAGCAAATTAATATCGGAGAATAATGGAAAGAAGGGGGACGTATTGTCTGTAGCGCAGTTGGCCGGTATTATGGGAGCTAAACGCACTTCTGATTTAATACCACTGTGTCATCCGCTTTCGTTATCTTACGTAAACGTGCGTTTACGTTTAAACGTAGAATTGAGTCGAGTAGAGATCACAGCCGAAGTTAGATGTACTGGAAAGACTGGCGTAGAAATGGAAGCTTTAACGGCTGTGAGTATGGCGGCATTAACGCTTTACGATATGTGTAAATACGCGGCTCCGCCAACGTCGATGAAAATAACCGATGTAGAATTAGTGTCAAAAACCGGTGGTACAAAGGGTGACTTTTTTAGAGATTAACCATTCAGTTGTTTCCAGCATCAACCAATACATCAACGTATACACGACACACGATGATCAAGGGATCGTGCACCATGGAATACGCGATACGATTATATTCACACATTTTAGTATCGTGTATCGTATTTCGCATTGATTCGAAATGCAAGATACGCACAATACACGATACAAAACGTCGCGTATAGCTGTATATGAATCTACATAAGTAACCCATAAGCGTACAAGGTGAGAAGAAGTTGGAATCTTCCACTTATTCGATGTATGTTATCTTTTATCGGCACGATAACCGAAGACTTGGTATTTTCTATTGCGTATTTTGTATTTCATATTTTATAGCAGATTCGAGAGTTTATTGTTTCACGTATGCCTGTGTAATCCTTTTGTAATTTTTGGACAAAATTTACATTTTAAGGGGATAGGTTGCGACGGATTTTAGACGTATATACAAGAGAAGATATAAAGCGTGTATGTATATATATATATATTATTTATATATATATATATATGTATAATGTAACATAATATTGTGCAATATAGTATAGCATACGGCATACGATATGACACGATACGATAAAAAAGAATGTAATATAATACAACATATTGTTTGGAAACTTGTGGAATCACTTTGAGTAAAAGTGCAATGCCACGCGCTTCATAATTCTTTCGATCGAACATAAATTGAATCGATCGATTGTAGGTTCATTGGATTAAGTATTTGAATCGAATTGAACATGAGAAAGGACGAATCAAGGAATAGCTCGTTGTGTGAGAGTCAAATGATTTTATTGTGATTGTCACGTACTACTTAGAGATCTCGGTTTCACGTGTATCTAAATACACGTGTATACGTGTAATTACTGTACCCGTGTTTCAGTCCATGTAGTTTTTACTACACGTGTATACGGGTACTGAAGTACACGGGTACACGGGTATTGAAATACACGGATACGAACCATTCTACGTCAAAACGCACGGGGAATTGCCGTCATAATTACCAACTTTTTTTTTTTTTTGTCAAATTTACAGCATTTGTATCGCTTTCCCAAGAAAATACTGTAAAAATTTCATTTGACCATCTCGACAATTTGTAGTTTTATCACATGTCGTAACATCTAGAAAGATATCTGTATATGCTACACTACCTAAATTTTGTTAATTCGGTAATTCATGGGAATCGAAGAATGTCAATTTTTATAGACATTTTATGAAAAATACCGTGTTTAACAAATTTTAAGTTTTCTTAAGGCTACTAATATCCAATAGGCGTTTCTGGTAGATTTTTATGCGCTGAATAAGAATTCGTAAACTGTGTTTCGCCTCTAGTTTTTGTTTTTGAGAAATTTGATTTTGAAATAAATGAAAATTTACAACTTTGAAGATGTTTTGTGCTTAAACAGTAGTAGTTATTCAATTTCTATCAACGCGAAATTATTTTATGAACTCATAGTTTGGCATTATTACTCCAATTTAATCATGTTTCTCAATGATACATCACCGTGCACTCAGTGCATTATTAATATCACAATAGACAATTAATTCATTAAACTTTATTAACCAAAATTGTAATTTTTTATTGTTATTTGTAACCTACAAGATCATACTTTTTTTCTCAAATAACGTGCGTACCTAAATTTATTGAAATATTCAGTAATTTTGTTACAAATTAATAGCACGAAATAAAATATGGTATTTCAGACGTCGTCACATTTGTTACTTACCTTTGTGACCCTCTCCAGGAAAGAGCAATTTTCCTGTCATTTATTTCCATTACGTTTTATTTTATCATATTAATAAGACATTAATAGTTTTCTTCAAATGTCTGTATACATATATTGCCGTTCTTCGTTCCCACGAATTACCGAATTAATAAAATTTAAATAATAAAAAGTACAAATTGCCGAGGTAATTAAATGAAATGCTTACAGTTTTCCATGGGAAAACGATACAAATACTGTAAATGCGACAAATAAGTGAGTGACTATGACGGCAATTTCTTCCCGAGCGTTTTGAAGTTGAATGGCTTGTACCCGTGTATTTCACTATCCGTGTACCCGTGTACCCATGACTTAGAAACTACACGGGCTGAAACACGGGTACAGTAATTACACGTTTATCATTAATACGCGTTCAGAACCACGATCTCTAAGAGTTGTACTAAACTAAACTAAACTAAACTAAACTAAACTAAACTAAACTAAACTAAACTAAACTAAACTAAACTAAACTAAACTATGCTAGATAGATAGGAATACGTTGAATGTTTACTTGAATATATTGTAAAAATTAAAGTCGAACTCACGTGTATTCCCGTGGGACTGGTGTCGTCGGCGGTGGCGGGGGCGGAGGCGGGAGGAGCATAAGTGAACCGTCGGCGTTGGCGCGGCGCAATCGCAACACCATTAGGAGCAACGCGAGGCGCCACTGCACTCTCGTTTCTGCTTTTTCGTTTCTCTTCGGATTTCGGACTTCGGACTCGGACAGGAGCGCAGCTTTCAGTATTTGTTACGGCAGCGAAGCGTGTCGTTCTCGGAGCTTTTCCACCGATCGAACTTCAAACGTCTCGGTTAGAATGTCGAACAGTAAGACTTGTTCGATTCTACCTTTCGTCATTTTCTAAGACAAGATATCCGAGAAACGCGACAAAAGACATGCATGAGAATATCAGTTACTTTTTGTCGGAAATGTAAACGACGCGTTCGCCCGTCTCGATCGAAGATATCGTCGATTCGACGATCAGCAGGATCGTTGCCGCGGAATTAACGAGTTACGCGTGAAATAGAAAGAAATGTATTATAACGTGTTGGAACGTCAGGAATTTCAGTTTTGTTCAATTGTCATTAGTATTGCAAGAGAGATTAGGATCGAGGAATGGAGAACGAGGAATGATGTTAGTGGAGGAACGCTACTGGAACTATCGATAAATCTTGAAGATTTGCCGAAATTTCATACAGCCGGAACAGCGGGAAAGGTGTAAAGATGAAAGCGTCTTTATTGTAAAGAAAAAAATATGTCACCGTTCCACGGTATGGCTGTTATATTGCTCGGAATTGGATACCTGTTACGCGTCGAACCGGCCTTCGATCATCGGAACTCAGGTAGAATTACTCTTTCCACTGATTGTGAGTGCATGCGGGCACACACGCACACACGCGTACGCATTAAAAACGCGGTTACTGTTTAACGGCGGTTTGATCTCTTCCGACGGAGCGAGATCACGGGGAAAAATGAGAATAGTATTTCGGTTATTCGATTATTCGTTGTCCCGAGATATCTACTTTTCGAGTACTCGTATTTCGAGTCGCGTCATCTCGCTGGATGATAAAAGTAAACTGTTTCTTTTGAACTGGCAAGTTGATCCAAAGTGTGTTAAGCGCGTTTGAATTTTAGCGGCGAAACGATTCGACGATGAGATCGAGAGAGCGGAACAGCAACGCATGCATCGAGGAACGAAGAGAACTTATTTTTACAAAGATTCACCGGAAAAAGTGACCGTCGTTGTGGGACAAACTGTCGTGCTGTCGTGTCGAGTCAAGAATTTGGGGAACAGAACCGTGAGTTTCGCGTTTTTCCGAACGAAACCTTTGCCAAGGATTTCGACTCGAGTCGAATTCGATATTTCTAAGATTTTTGCGCTAAAAAAAGGTACCGCGAACATTTCAACCATACTACTTCCTAATTAAGTTGTACGAGCAAGTATTTCGAACTTCGTGTACACGATCCTCGAAAACTAATTGCTAATCATGATTTGTTCGTTCCTCTCGTGCAAACCTTCGAGCTACCATTAATTAAGACCGGAGAAAGTGGTTGTTGTCATTCACAATTAGATATTTGGCATGATACGCATAAATTCACGCACATCCGATTTCAATATCATTAAGCACGTGTTGCTAACTCGTTTGATACTTTACCATTTCATTTTTGAGCCCACCCGAATCTATCAACGTTAACGTCTATTGCCTAGAAACCTTTCTTTTTTCTGTTCTGATCCGCTTCACTTCGTTATTTCGTTTGAAAACGTATCTGGGAAAACATCGAAGCGAAATTGTCGGTGTGCAGATTCTCTAACTAATTGTAAGTAAATTCGGAGAGAATCGAATAGATTTCACCGAATTTCTCCCAGGTGTCTTGGATTCGAAAAAGGGACTTGCACATCTTAACGTACATGTCCGTGACTTATACAAGCGACGCAAGATTTACGATAGTTGGCAATCCGAAGAACGATGACTGGAATCTGCGAATAGATTACGTACAACCACGGGACGCTGGTATTTACGAGTGTCAAGTTAATACGGAGCCCAAGATATGCAGGGCGGTTGCATTGAAAGTTTTGGGTGAGTGTTCTGTTGTTACGGATTTAGGTGTTTCCAAAACTGAATATTTATCCTTATGTTCGGTGGACAAAACGGGACGAAACGAGACGAAACGAGACGAAACGAGACGAAACAGCATTGCTAGGTAATTGAAGGTTTGCTGTATAGCAAACTCGAATAACGAATAAAAGATAAAAAATTATTTGACCAATTTTTATATATAAAATAATATTTCACTTGGCAAACCAGTTAGGTATAATTAATCTCATAAAGTGTTCAAAGGTTAGGATAACGAATTGACAACGCCGTTTCACTATGTATTATTTGAATAAAATTGAGCCCAATTCTGATACCGCGAATACCTACTTGAGAACAAATGGAAAAGGAACGACGTTTATTTATTTATTTATTTATTTATTTATTTATTTATTTATTTATTCACTTACTTACCTTTTATTAAAACACTCTTGTTATTATGTATATTCATTCATGTTGCGGAAATGAACATTTCAAATACGTTTACGTATCCTATGTATAACAAATTCCTGGCTACATATGTAGGTATGTATGTGCCTAGTTGTTTTGGAGAGGCATCGAGTAGCGTCTTTTCTTTAGGTTATTCACAATGAGAAGCAAACTAACGAAACAACTACGAATAAACTTTGCTCCGCGACCACAGTCAATCCGTTCTTATTCTTCCCGCTACTTATTCTGTGTTCTTTTTGTGTTTGCGCGAGTTTTCACGCTCGTAACTTCGACCGAGTTTCACGATAGACTCGAACGGGATAACGGTCGTCGATTGGGGATCATCTGTACGGGATCGTAGGCGAATAGCGACCGTGTTAGGTCTCGCCCCTTGGCATATTGTTAGTGCCGTAATTTTACCGAATCGCGTACAATACTTGATGCGCGTGATTTTGTTTATTGCGAAACAGACGTACAGGCAAAGATTTCGGGTCCCGAGGAAGTGTACGTGAAGAAGGGCAGCACGATCAGTTTAACTTGCACCGTGGACGCACAAGAGATTCCTCCGAGCAACGTGACATGGTATCATGCCGGTGCGCCTATCGATTTCGACGGTCCAAGGTGCGTTATGTTCTAAACACGAAATTTTCGGTCGGCTTCGATCCAAATAAGACGCGGTCGCTTCGATTCGCGACCTGCTGAGACGCTCGATGAAGTCGAAACTGTAATAATGTATTTGCATTCGACAGGGGTGGAGTTTCTTTGGAAACGGAAAAACGTAAAAACGGCACCAGCAGCAAGCTACTAATAACGCGCGCTTTGATCAACGACAGCGGCAATTACACGTGCGTCTCGGGCAAGGTTGCTCCGGCTAGTGTGACTATTCACGTGTTGAACGGTGAGCATAAAATACACCCGATTTAATTTTAAGTAAAGCTCGTCACCGTTGTCTTCTGATATCTATCGTCTCGTCCTCATTACGACCACGACTTTGTTCAGCCTGCGAAGCAGCGAACGACGCCCTTATACTCTCTCTAGGACGTTTCGCGAATGATTTTCGCGAAACAGCTTACCGAGTCACTTTCGATCGCGTGTGCGGTCGAGAACAACAACAGCGAGAAAGGGAACGTTACTCTGTGTAACTCACGGAGCTGATTACAATTTTAGAGAACGCAAAATGATGACCGCGCGTGTCATTCTTGTTACCGAAATTCCAGTCGGTGGACGGAAATGGTTGCGTTCTCTCGCGTCGTTTCTCAGCTTCCGAACTGACGCAACTTGTAAATAGAATCGTGAACCAGGTTTCTTTTTCTAGGCGAACATCCTGCGGCGATGCAGCACGGCGGCACCAGTAACGCGAACAGAAGAGCAATTTTCTTCAGTCTGCTCCTGTTGGTGGATACGATATTGCGGTGAGCAACGTTTCTACACGCAGCCGATGGTCCTTCCAACCCCGAAGCTTTCCATCGTGCGCGCACAGTTTCCTTTCGCGATTCGCGTTTCTCATTCGTCGTGTTTATCGCGTTCACTCGAATCGTATGAGTCAGTGTTCCCGCCTACACTCGTATACACTGTGTATCTCGAAAACTCGATCGCAAAATGCTCATTTTGCGTGTTAATTTCCATGCAGTGAACTCGATCGAGCCATACGGTCTTCTATGTCTTAAGCAGTTGGGCTGGAGACGGTCTCGTCGCGAATCATCCCTTCACTGGGACGTAGGTATCGCGTTTATTCGTTTTATGGAAATCGTACGAAAGCATGTCTTGTTGTTAGAAAATCTGTTTCGCTGGAATCGGGAACGTATCGGACGGTCCTCCACCCATCTACGTATAAGTACTATTTGCTATTCCGACCGCGAACGCAGAAAATTTCATGCGAAAGTTAGATCCACACTGGCGACGTCGATCGTTCATTTCGATACTAGCAAGTGTTGAGTTTTAACGTCTTCGATGAATTAACTACGAGTTATAACATTCTCCATGCGAATAAATATACCTACAGCCGGTTACGCCATTAGATACGAGAAGGTGAAACCTCTTCCTTAACGTATTATGAGACTTTTGAAGTTCAGAAGGATTTCGGCCTTCCGCGATAAAACTCTGTCATTGCGTTCAGTCAGTTTGTCAACAAACTTGAAAACAGTTGAATACGTTCACTTCCTACAAAGCGGATCGTCTATTTATAGGAATGTGAAGAAAGAAGAATGCTGTAACGATGCAACGAATCAAACTCGAATACACGTTTATATGAACATATTTTATTAAACGGTGAATCGAGTTTATGCTGTAAATACCAGAAAAACTCCCTACATCGCCACGTTCTTGTGACGTTTTTGATAATAAACGGGTCGTTTATTAAATTATAAATCAATATTAAAAGAATGGTTTTGATAATGACATGTCGTCCGCGTATCGCGATTTCTACAAGGTTGACGGACAACGGGAGTTGAGGGGAATTTGTTACTCGATCGGATTCATAGTAGGTAAGTTTCTTCGCGACGAGGTATTTACCTATAGTCTATGCTAGTCTATAGGATAGGTACATACATACATTCATAGCAACCGACGCGGTTTCGTTCGTCGCGTTCAACTGCGATTGTGAGTGTAGTGTGATTACGAATTAATGTGTTTCTCTGTAATGTTTACAGAGTTTTCCTATCCAAATCGTTTAGTTTTACGTATTTTCTTGGCCTGGTGAAAAAATTGTGCAAGTCACAAAATACCAGACTTACGCACATTTCTAGACGAAACAATCAAAAGATCGTCTTGGCGTCGAAGAAGCTTTTGATTCACCATTTGTGTCGTCCCATCGATTCTCTCCGTTGTGGGTTCTTCCGCTCTTTTCGGACGTAGGGCTTGCTTCGGCTAATTCTTCGTTGAAAATTTTTCGAATTTCTGTTTCTGTGGTCGGTGTTTTTCTGCGAACTCACGATGAAACTGTCCTAGCTAACTGTGGTCGTAAATCTTCGCCACGAATTTATTCGACACCTTGATACATGAATCCTTAATACGAATTAACGTAATGAAGGAATGAATTAACGCAAACATGTTTTTTCTTATTTTCTGAAAATACTGACAGTGACAACTAATTGTTCTTAATACATAAATGTGGCTGTTTGACAAAGTGTTAAATTATTTGCTTGTATTATGATTTACCGAACACACCATATGATTATAAACATCGCGAAGAATAAAAATCAAAACATTTTCTTTTAACGAAAGCAAAAACTAATAATGACTAAAATACATTTATGTTATACATATACAATATATGTACATAATGATTACTAAACATTAAATATTTATACTTTAGCATGCGATGAAAAAATCCGGTAAAACGTCAAAACACTGTGCAAAGACTGTAGAATATAATTCGGCACTTACCGCAGTAGATTCTTGAAATTCAAACGGAATAAAAAAGCCAGGTCACTAGCACAACATTGAAAGTTTTCAACTCGAAATTTTGAAACACCTCTCGATGAAAAACTACGAGACGTAGTTTGCTCTGTGTTTACTCTTTTGTTTCGGGTATCGATAACACCGCGCACGGACCAAACCGGCTGTCGACCAAACGTTGGACCTTTTGGACTGTTGTCTACAAGAGTGTCGAGAATCATCAAAAAGGGAAATAAATGCGTAGATGTTTGTGGTATCGGGACGTCCGGGCATCGCGTAACAATCGGTGACTGTGGTCCTCGCGAAGGTGTACGATAGGATATTTCTTTTCGTTTACGTAATTTTTGTCCTGTTTGTACTTATTTTTGTGGGAACCAAAGGATTGGTACGCAATCACCGAAAATACGTTCCTCATTGAATTTCTCGTTATGTACATTAATATTTAATGTTTGATATGAATTAAATTTTCAAAAAGTCCACAATGAATTCATTTTGTAGCGATTACCGTAGTGTAGTAGAAAACTCGTCGAAGAACAATACGTTTCTGTTACTTTCGAAACAACCAAACAGAGACGAAATAAGGTACTTCCTTAGTTATGTGTGTATTTCATACGATTTGAACGTCGAGAACTGAAATGCGTCACAAATGAGTGTGGTCGTCGTTATTGTCGTTATTGCATCGCGATGTTTACCGTGATACGTTTAGGTTAATTATTGGATCGAATAAACGACAGACACGGGGAAATTTTTGGTCTGTAAGTTTGTAGGCAGCGGAAATCTGTGAAAATGTTGCGCGATCCCGACAAACCCCCTAAAAGGAGCTCCTCGGCCGATCGAGCGGTAATTCCCCGTTAGTTCCCGGTTGGGAAGGCTCGATTAAAAATTGTTGCTTCTCATCGAAGTAGAACGTAGGTCGCTGAAAATATGCGATGTCGTTTCAGAGCAGAAAAAGATTGCTATCGAAGATGTCCATACTTGGTTCTCTTGGCAGTCGCATGTTCTTTCACAAGCGCGGGGATCGATTGAAAGTACGTTAAACGGGGTTACGAGCGATTACGAGATGCTTCGCGTTGCAAACAGCATCATGCATGCTGACTGATCGACGAATCGTTTTTTTCTCCATGGAACACGCGCAGATCCCAAAGTACCAAAACACGTATCGACTCGAAGCGTTTCGCAGCTTCAACGTCGAAGCTGTTGACGAACTGGTGATAGAAACGATGGAGAATAGATTGTCTTCGGTGACCGCGTATCATCCGAGTCAATCGGGGAAACTGTGCATGGATATTGGAGCTGACTTGCAGAAAGCGGTCAGCAAGAAGGATTACGATAGGTAGTAACGACGCGTCCGCTGTTTTCTCTGTATACATAGTATACATACATACATACATACATACATACATACATACATACATATACGACACGTTATATGGTTCTACGCCGGACATATCTTTTGTTCGGTGGTTCGACGACGAGACCTGTACACGGTTTAAAAGTACAGTAAATCAACGATGAGTGTTCAAGACGTCATCCCCACCACTGTGGAGGGAGTCGGTGCCGAGCCGAGGAGCCTTTGAATACTCATCGATGATTTACCGTTACTACTGGGTATGTATGTACCTCGAAATGTTTCGCGGGTACACGCGACGCGAGTTGCACACGATAATGTTGGTCCGTCTCGATGCAAGGTACAAGATAGTGGCGCAGGTGACCATCGTTCAACGCCTCCATCAGAGCATTCACGCAAGTTTTCAGTGTCTCTGGGATGTGGAACGCGATAATTATTCCTACTACGTTTTCGAAAACAACCATATATACGCCTGGTGCTGTGTGTTTGGCTTGTACTACGAGTGAAATCTGCCGTTTCGAGTGATCGTCTTCCATTTCTTACAAATGCCCGTGCATACGATATTCGTAATATTCCCGAAGAAATTTCAATCAATTCGCGATTCTTTGCAACCTCGTTGAATACATTGAAATATGTATCTGCCGACGACGATGAAAGCGCGTCGCAAGATTTATACCAAAAATTGTGTATCCGATACAACAAATACACAGTCGAGATCTGTTTTTCTATGCAAAATATTCGCGTCGTTTCGCGTCGATGGAACCGTTCGAATCCGATAATTTGGTCCACCGGAAAATTTTCCGATCGATTATCGAGTAGCCCATACAGTATTAATATTTATTAGTTTCACAACTCCACCCTTTTTTATCCGTATCGCTTACCTCTATCCTGTACAGACCAACCTCGATTCTTTGCGATGATTTATCAAGAAACTTTCGGTCTGTAGAGGTACTAGCCGTTTAAACCCGGATCGGTCGAAATATAATATAATAGGCATAGATTTCAAGTTTTATCAAACAACGTGTTCAACGGTTCTATGGAGAATAGTTATTTATTCTCGGAACGTATCCTCGAATGCCGCGGCGCGGAACGCGTTGCGCTGGCTGTACCTGCATCGCATCTGTTTTCCATTAAAAGCCGGGAAAGGTTATAATCGATACCGGGAAATTCGGTTTCCTGAGCTTGTTTATTCGTCGAAATGCGTAGCCCGTCGCTCGTTAAATTAATCAGCAATTTCTGTAATTTCATTGTCAAGGCGAGGCGTAGAAATATTCCGTTCGCACAAAAGCTGTGGAAGATCCGGCACATATGTATTTGTATACATAGATCGCTGTTTACCAATTTGCAATTCAAATTTTATGTCCTGTGTCACGTCGCGCTGCGTTCCGTTTCATTCTGATTAATCGGTTTAAATTCTACAGTTCCTGGATACTTCGTGCCGATTAAAATCGACACGTTCGCTCGTAGAGCAGGAAAGGGTCGGTTTACAACGAAAAATTTCGATGCACTGTTTCTCCGCGTACTTGAAATTTACGATTCACATTATTTGTGTTCCTCTTCCGTCGTCGACTTTTCGTCGTCGATGAAGAACAAGATTTATTCTCGGATTTGTTTCACGCTTTACTTTCCGTGGTACGTGTTAACATTTTACGGCGAGTCTGCTAGCTGGATCGTAAAGAAAAAAAGCGAGAGAAAACGGAAGGAACAGAATAAGCGACGAAGCAGTGGCGTACGTTTCGACACTTTGAAGATTACGTGTTCCAGAGGAATTTGCATTCTCGCGAATTGGGGACGGCGGGACTTGAGATCGCGATCGAACCAATGGAACGGGTATAACGGGGAGCACATGGTGCGAGGAACTCCTTCTTTCTACCACTTTTTCGGCAAGAAAATTTGATCGACGTCAGGCGGCAGCGAGACAATCTATCACCGGTCTAGTCGTGTTACTGGGTTCGACGTAAAATCAATGCCGATCCTCGTTTCCATGCAAATGATCTTGCGACGCGTGGCTCGTGCTTCAAGCTGAAAACAGGAATTTTGCCCAGAGTGGGTGCGCGGTTGCTTATTCCCTGTCCGCGAAAAAAAACACCTGATTTTTCGTTGCATGTAATTGAATCGGTCGGTATTCTCGACGAAAACGTAATTAAACTTTCTCGGTGATACCTGTGTACGTACACATAGTATTTTATACATATGTAGGTACGTATGTAACAGTTGAACGGTTATGTTTACCTGCTCATTGACCGTGCCGCGTTTCCCGCTTCGGGTCAAGGTGCGATGTAATTTGTATCGAAAATCGATTCGACAGCGTAAACCTTACCTACGTTTAGATTTTTTCCGTGTCGAAAAAAAAGGTAATCGAGTGGTCAACGAGCGGGGCTACTGAAAAGTTTTGGTTTTCCCTAAAAATTTCCGAAAAGGCCAAACAAACAAAGTTGTAACGGACAACGCTGCAGCGATCGTTACGAGGGTTTCTACTTTCTACGATGTTGTGCAACACTTTATTAGAAGCAACTTAGAGGTTTATTCGAGTTAAGAAATACGGTTACGTGGTTCGAGACTCGTCAAGGAAGAAGTGAGCTGGTTGTTCGGAGTGAATTTATATACATATATCGTGACATTTGAGAAAAATTACACGGAAGGATTGTATTAGGAAGCTGACCAATCAGGTACGAGTTGGCGTTTATCATGTTTGGCGGGTATCCACCAACGATACATAATGCGAAATCGTTCGGTTCGAATCCAATTATAAAGAGGGCATTTCGTTAACGTTAGAGCCGTGATTCGTGCTTCTCAATTTCGAGAATTTGATATTCTAACCTAACCAGTATGTATATGGACGGCGGTTGTTGGATAAAGAAATATTTTTGAATACCTCCTGAAAGAAAAAAAAAATTGCAATTATTTCTGTTAGAAGGTGTACGTTTCTCAGGTCGGATGAGACCAGAACCGACCATCGAAGTGGGTGCAGTTCTCGATAAATAAGATTTGTTCCGGAACGATCGGTCACCGTTACGATAGAACTGTCTGTCGTCTTGCCACTATTTTGTATCCCCCTGACGGTACCCGATTTATCTTTGTCCGATTCTTGTTGATATTTTTCTGTTCTGTTCTTTCGTTCATTTCCCATTTTCTGTTTCTCCTTTTTCGTTAAGGATGGAAAGCGCGACGGAGGGAAAATAGTTTCCATCGGTACCGGTGGATGTCGAAACAGCTGTGTAAGATTTTTACTCTAAATTGGCCCAAATGCGTTCGCTCGTCGACGATTCATTCGCGTTACATACTTGATCGTATTCCGTGATTCACGTCTACTCGAAGCGTAAGCCACTGTCGACGAATCGAGTCCCGAATTGTCTCCTAATGAAACGTAAGTACTTACTGTTATCCAGGTGTCAACGGTGGCTGTTCTGGTTAATTCGGAAAAACAGACTACTTAGACTTAGACGTAGCGAGAGGAGGAGAGCTATTCGGAATGCGCGAGAGAACCGACAACAAATACCGATATACATATACATAGGTACCGTGTTGTGTCGTTCCGCTGTTAATGTTTAATCCGCACGGAATGTCGTCGTTTGTCTTTATTTCCCTTCGGTTAAGCCTCGAACGTTAGCGTTATCGTGTCGGGCAGGGCGCACGCGAGCTGATTGCGAGCCTCCTCGGTAACTTACACTGCGCCGTGCGACCTTTCCACGCGGAGATTAAATTTCAACGACAAGTCTGTCCACCATCCTGTGTCGGTCGTGATCGGATTAACAACCGTATTTTCGTACGTTTTGCAGTTTCTTTGGTATTATTTCCTTAACCTTGTTCCGGCCTGACGCGTTAAAACGACTTTGTGCTCTAGACTATCGCTTCGAGTACGCAACAGAATAAGTAGTATCGATGTTTTTACAACATCGTGACAAATTTCCACGAGATACAAGTTGTAGCCTACAAAACGTCGTAGCTATTGTCTGTCGATCGGAAACCACGTTCGTACTTCGCCTCGTATCTCTTTCTAACCCGTGAACGAGAACCGCTTGCTCACAATCGAATCACATTCATGGTAACGTTCGAATAAAAGTTTAACAGTTTGTTTCTTAGTTAACAGTTCGTTGCCTTTACTCTATCGTTCACGGTGATGGGGAAGGAACGAACGAACAAGAGGGGCGTGCTCGGTTACCTATTTTACAGATTACGCGAATAACGTCCGATGCCGTGTATGTATAGTACAAGTTATATCGATCACATTTCGCGGCGTTCACGTTGTCTATCCGATCCCTTTTCGATCATCTTCCGAGAAAAATGCCACAACTCGATGTCGTTTCGCGATGCTACAGCATGTAGCTAGCTATTCGCGTAGAAATTCCTGCCTGAAATGGAAAAAGAACGAAGTAGAGGAAGCGTTCGCCGAGCTCCGGGATATGAATAATAATTTAATACATGGTACTCGAGATTATCGCCCGCCCAATCGCCGGGCTCCAACATTCAAGTGCTCGCCGGTTAGAGGTTCGCGAGTGTTTGACGTAACGTGGTAACGTGTAACTAATTTATCGCGCTTTCCTTGCCAAATATTCCGCGCTTCTTTCCACGTCGTCAGAGCGGGACAAGTCCTCGGCTGTGGGGGGTTGTTACGAGACACCGACAATATCACAATTGTGCGATGCAATAAGCATTCAACGAGTGGTGTCGGATTCACCAAAATATCCGAAAGTTCGATATTCGAAATTCTGTAAGAACTGCAATTATTATTGTATTTCGATCCTACGGTGACTATGTCCTGCGAAACTTTCATAACTTTCTTAATATTTCAGCATAGAATGTTCGTAGCTTGACTGATTTTGTACGATAAATCGCGTTTCTGCACGTCCGAAGAGTAATGGTTAATCCCGAAAGGAATTGCAGTAATTTTAATTACGACATTTCAGGCGTTTCTGCACCTGTTACGTTGCCGCACGCGTTACAGATATTATAAGTACGTGTCCTTCGGTGTACATATCGTCGTTGAAAGTTGTACGTACCAGAATTGCCGCACGTTCACTGAAATCCTGAGGTCGATGATACCGTGGTCGCATACATATAACTGTTAACGTTATTGCGTTTCGACGTTGGCGATTTGTTAACCACAGTGGTGTGAACAAACTAGCTTTATTAGATGGATCGGAATCGGTCGAACGCGCAAGTATAAGAAGTTGGCATGGCGGAAAATTAGATTTCCGTCCGCTTACGTTCTTTTCTTGATCAACCGTGAAAAAAGTTTTCAACGTCGTATAATATATGTAAAACCGCCGTGCCAAAGATGCTTCCGATTCTGATTCTGATTCCGATTACGAAGATGAAAAGTTGCCGAGAACGATTCCGTGAAAACACAACTGTAAACACAACTGGAGCAAGTATCATCAATCGAGTAAAACTAAATATAATAATCAACTCGTATCCGAGTGGGCTGTGTCTTGAACTTGAATTTATGGCAATTTATATTAATGTTTTGATTTTTGATTGCAAGCTTGTGCTTCGAAGCCGGAAGGAGTTTCTGGACGTCAAAAGATTTGATAGGTTCACGCGATGGCCCGTCAGCCTGATTAAAGTGGGAAAGTGTTAATGCGGTGTACAATGTAGAATAGATTTTACTCCTAACGTCCTTTCGATACGTGGATTTGTTCCACATGCATCGTTGGCAGAAGGCGGACATATATGTAGAATCGAATCGAGGAACTTTTGGCAATTCACTCTCACGCTGGCTAGTGAACGGGTTCTCATATATTACGAATATCTGGGCTGAACTTTTCTCTTTTATTAGAGAGTTTCGCTCGCAGCTACCGTTCCCATATTGTATGTAGAAAACGGTTCACCGGCTCTGCCAACGTCCGACATGCGTGCGCCGTTAACGCAAGACAAACTGACGACGATACGATACGATCTCCGGGTTACTTCTTCACCGAAGTAACACGCATATACATATAACTGAACGTCGTGTGTGTGAATCGATCGATGTTTCTATGATTCTTTCTATACTAATAACTGAAAAACTGTAAATTTTTAGTTAGATATGTTATTGTTGCAGCAAATGAGCGATATGTACGTTGATCATCAAACTGAAATAACATACGAAAGGCAGAAGTTGACCGTAGAGTTCCGTGGATTTTCGATAACCAATGTTCATCCTCCGACATATCACGGGTAGAATTTGAGTTCGCGGATCCAGAATATCCGTTCAATAATTGGTTTAAGTTGTTAGTCTACACGGTTAAAATGTTCACCGTGTAGAGGCGTGCGAGAATTTCCGTGGACCCTGATGGCCAGTGCAACGAAATCGAGAGGGGGAAGGCGGATCGAGGCGACGAATGTTGGAAAACGGAGAGAACAGCTAGAGAGAAATTACCGAACGTGGACGGAATCGTGAGAGGATTCCGTTGGGTCTCAACCTAACCCGGACCCCCCTTTGCATTTACATTCCATTCGTCGCCTAGTATATTCCGAGTGTCACTGTCGCGATCGTATACATACGATGTATGTATACCTTCGTCTACAGCCCGCCTTGCTACCTAGTTTTTCGCCTGTTCGTTCGCATCGCCCTATTAAACAAATAAATCAATAATAATATTGTATCGCGATTCTCATTGAACGGTACCATCGTCGAGCGACGTATTGTCGTATGTACTCCCTCCTGCTCGGTTGTCCGAGTTGCGTATCATTTCGCAGTAAATTCAATAGAGTCAGGATGGATAGACTTGAACTATCAATGACAGCGGCGACGTATTTTTTCAATGAATATTGTATTTAACACGGACGATGACATATGCACGACGACACACGGACAAATCGCGATACGAAAAGGAAAAGCTTGGCGCGACGCACGCGTTTCATCTCTTGTAGATTTTCGGCCTGGCCAAAAGTTTCAGCCGTTTCGAGCACTTGGCCGTTAACGCTGTCGGCGACACGGTGAAAGCGTTTTCTCTGACGTCGGTCTCCATTCCTGCGGGTCGTTCGGCTGGTTTCGCCAAGATTATCAACCTTGGGGTAGCTGCGAAATTAAAGAGGGTATGCATCCCGTCGCTCTGATACTCGCCCTTAAGACGGACGAATCGCGTTCAAAGGGGAATTAATTCATTGTCACCGGTAAATTTGTAAATTTTTCAGGTTGTTTACTTGTCCTAGACGAAACGATAGATAGGTAGGTAGGTTGAATAGCGACGTCGCGGATCCGATAAGTGGAAAGTTTGCGGTTAAGAAGAATGCAGGTAAGTGTCTACTTACCTTTGGCTTTGAGCGCAGCCGGGGATACTTTGCCCGGAATCCGGGGTGGGGCGGTTTCCGAGGGGGTTTTCGATTTCGCGATCTTCGACAGGCGTCTGCTGATCTTGTAAACAAGAGCGGTCGCTGGCACCGCGAACGGATCCCTGGGTTCCGGCACGTCTCTGCTCGTCGGTGTCGACAGCTCCTCGATTCTCCGTACGTTCACCGGCCTCCATTTTCTTTTTCTGCCCTACAATTCACGAGCCGTGTGTATCGATCGCCGTCATTCAAACGAACTTTTCTAACGACGACTTTTTAATTATCTGTTTCGTCTCTGCGGGATTAGCGTATCGCGAACGCTTCTTTCTCCGTTCTACCGCGTTGTTACCGAGCCACGAGACCTCCTGACCGAGACGGAATCGTGTCTACGAATAATCCCCTCGGGAACCGAACAATCGACGAGACGTGTTTCCGGAGCACGGAAATGTACATTAACTCTCACGTACGAAAAGTTTCGGTTTGGGTGGTATTTTCGGAGTAGACAGCCTGTCCATCGACTCCAAGTGCTGTTCCCATTCTTCAGGCTTCACAGCTCTGCGCAACTTTGCCATGATCCTTTGTCTGCGAAGAAACATTCGTGGAAACGTTAACGGATATTATACAAATTGAATTTGTCCAATGATTTCGAACGAACGTGTTACAGTCTCTGCAAATAAAGGAAAAGCGAATAAACGGGTTGCATCGAGAGCAAGCAGGGTCGAGGTGAGAGCAACGGACGGCGCTTCGGGTTGTTTGCTGCGAATATCCGGGACACCCTTGGGGCACTATTAATATAATAATTACGTTCAGGGTACTCCTGTCTGGTAACTATTCGCAACGAGTCTCGTGCAAAGTTTAACATTGCAGTCCGGTGTCTGTGATAATAGGACCGCTACGTGGAAAGTCGATATTCGAGCCCCTTTGAATGCCCCGCTTGAATGTTTGCCGAAAGGGGAATTCGTGAAATACCGCGTTCGTCGTTCTTGTAATTGAACACACGTTGCACGTCGATACGGCGTACTACGCGGCGGAAGGCGGAACCCTAATGGTAAAACATCGAGTCCGAGCGTTGCGATCACCGTCCTCGAGAGAATGGAACCGCTTCTCCGCGATATCCGAATCCGGCTTTACGAGATCGTGTTCGCAAGTGCGAAATGTTCCAAGGACAATCCGATTACGTGTCGTTTTCCCGTTCTCCCGCGATTTCCCCTTGGAAAAAACGCGATTCCCTTTCCATTTTCTCCTCGAGAGTCCAGCTTCACGTGTGCGCCGAACTTTCCACGGTTCGTATCTCATCGAGGAGCGATCGAGAGCAAGTGTCGTCTTCGACGGGTCTTTCGCCCTTACTTACCTTTTTCTCGCCTCTCGTTGTTGCCTGATATTGCAAAAGTATCGATACCTTCGGTATCGCGAGTTCTGAACCTTCCACAGAGTTTCGACTATGTTGCCGCTTGTCTGGAATCGCATGTTAGACAGTAGCAATCTGACAGTGAAACGAGCAATTCGTTAAAAGAGTTTTCTATCGGAGGTCTTAGGCTGTTTTTAATTCAATAAAACTCACCTTTTACGAGGTAGCGCCAAATCTATGATGCGTTTGTTGCTCTTAGCCGCGAGAGTTTTCGGATGGATTCGTGGATACGACGGTGGCGCTGTCCTACGCGAAAACGAAACCGATCTCTAGTCTAGTAATCGTGTAGGACGTGTCCGTCGATCGATCATCGGTAATATCGATAGAATCCGCAGCTACTCACTCTGGATCGTATTTTTCGCTGACGTATCTCGGACGAGCCATGATTTTGATGCGCTTCGAAGCCCGCGCTTTCAGGGCTGCTCGACGCGTCGTAAACGGATTCGTCTGCAAAAGGTACGATCGTTCGATGGATTAATTATTCACCGGGGAGGACGTTGGTGGTTAAATGAAACTCGGTGAAACGGTATCGCGAACAGTTAGAAAATTTCGTGGAGAACAGACTCGACGTGTCGGTCTGTATGTCACGCGCAAGTTCGCTCACCAGAATGTTCAGGTTCCTTCTTTGAATTCTTCTCCAGTTAGGTCGAGCCAGTAGGGAGACGTATTGTTTGTGCGACAAATGCGCCATGGCATATTTAATCCTCCGGGACAACTCGTTCGCCATTTTTCATCGGTACACCAATCTTTCGTCGTTATCGATTCCTCGGTGAGCTCTGGCGAATCCTTCCGGTCTGGCGTGTATATCCCGATACTCCAGCTTTGGAATCACGTTGCGGGTTAACGTTTCATTAAATTCGCGTTTAATTAATCCGATTCGACGACACAACTGACGTACCATGCATACATACATACGTATCTACATATGTCCACACATCTAAATACGTATATCTACGTACGTTTAAAAACGAAACAGGAGAGAAAGAGGAAGCTCGAGAAACGGGGTCAACGGCACAATTTGCAAGCGCGAAGCTCTCTTCTGCGACTAACCCTTAATTTGGACGCGTCGATTTCGATGGAGATCTCTTTCGAAATCGGTCGCCGCGACGCAGAGACGAAACGAAACAAATGAAAGAGAAAAAAAACATCTAGCGCACACGGTACTCATCGTCGTTAACTTGAACTCGCGGCGTTGTTCTACTATCAACGAAATCACGCGAAACATTTCTGGTTCGCTTTTTGTACACCTTGTCAATGAAATTAGGTACATAGTACATAGGTACGGTGTCATTGTTTTTTATATTTGAAAAATTACCAAACGTTTTTGCGTTCTTGCGTCTGGCGTGAAGCGTAGCTGTGTTTCGTGAAGCTAGAGTAAGTTAAATCACAGTAAACTGGGAAATCATTGCGGTCTGATCTGATCCGGTTCGATCTGATCCGACTGGATCCAACGGGAACGCGTGGCAAGTACAAAGAGCAGAATGCATAGAGGATTTTCAGTGAATAGTATCTATTGATGCGTGGGTTAAATACGGCATTCCCCAGAGACCTGTTATTCGATACGTACGTACAATAAAGCTTTATTCGGAGTTTGCATTGTAAAACATCAATAAATATGCGTACGCGTAAATCATAACCGTGCATACCTTTCGCGTATTCGTTTGAACGATCAAAGACTAATTTAATGCTGGTGACTTGCTTAAGAAAATATTACGCGCTCACGAATGTTATTGTTTTCAGCGAGACGAATTACAGGATAGTTTCATGGTTCCAATATCGGTAGATACTTTGGAATACCGGAAATGCGAAAAAGCGGTGACAGCTGCAGTCTGCTTTCCACTTTTCCGTCTCTTACGTCCACCAGTCTTCCAACTTGTCTCGGTATTCACCACCTTTTCCTTTTTCGTTTCCCGCTTATCCTTGTCATCCGTCTCGCTTACTCTCCCCTTGATCCTTTTCCTTTCTCCATTGCGTTTCCGTGCACCGTCGATCCCGCATGGGAAATCTCAAATACGAGTCTGTTTATCCGCCACTTGAAGTCCCACTGGACCCCGATGATAAGATTTTATCACGAATTCAGCCTGCTCTTTGCTCCACGTCAACCGCATCTTCCATTCTCCAGTTCAAACCATCGGGCAACTAGTCTCGCGGATTTAAGAACTACACGATACAATCCAATGTCCATGGCAAAAATTTTACCGGCATTTCGTTGCATTGGTTTACGGGGTTTCGCTAGCTTAGGAAAACGATAGCAGCGGAATAAATGCGGAAGCATCGATAAAAAGATCATACACCTATCTTTTTCCGACAACTTTTCGATACATCCTGTATCATCGTTTTCTTCTGCGATATTCCAAAACCATTCAAACCATTTCTCTTGAACGTTAATAACTTTGGTTTCTCTTTTTCCTTCCCTTTGTCTCGAAAACGATATTGATCACTCTGCACAGAGTCTGCTCGTGTCCTCTCGCCCTTTTTTCTCGCAGATCTCAATAGATTTCCCGATTTTAACGCCGATTTAATCGTGTACCTGTACGGTTTTTTTTTCGTATTTCCGACCGTAGTTACGTATTTGCTGTGGTTTATTGTATTTATTGCGATATCTACTTCCAATTATTACGTAATAAATCAATTTTTTATTAAACAATTACTTGACGGATGTCGTATCCGGATCTGTAAAGTTATGAATATTTTATATAAGTATCGTTACGAGTACGACTGTCTTTGATAAAAAGGCTTTCTAAGATAATCGCTACATTTTCTTTACTATACAATATGATAACAATAGTAACAATTTATTGGCAGGTCTATGTTCTCCAGTTGACAGGCAAACATTATTATGTACAGGAAAGGATGACGATCGTTGATTTTTCGTTTACATCGATTTCAATAACGTACGTCGAACCGACAAACTGAAGCTTTCACCGAACTGTCGAGTGTACCAAATTGTTGCGAACAAAACTAATTATGCACTTTGTACAACTGATTACAGCGTGACGTTCTGCTTTTGACGTTCGCCACGCCATCGAACGAACAGTCGATAAAGGGACCCCGACAAAATGGATATCTTGTTGCAGAAATGACCGATGGTCGTCCGATTTCCGAGCATTTCGAAACGTTTCAGGCGTCGAAAAATTGCTTCCGATCGAAGAGTTCTTTGGAAAAAGCTACGATCATTTTTCACGACAAACTTCCACGTTTCTTGTCGGTAATGAACGGTGAGGCGCAAACTGCGAACTTGCAGTGAAAGAAGAGTATAACGGGGCGCGACTCGCGTGGAAAATCGACGACGAGACCAGAATTCGTAAAGACGTCCGAACCGACTTGTCAAACGTAGTCGGACGCTTTACGAAGGCGACAAACGAATGTGCGACTAGTATTCGGTTAACACTGCAGAGTGACTAAACTAACAGAGGGTTAAAGTGTTTCGCCTAATGCGCTGACCGGTTCCACGAATGGGAAAAGACAGACTTAAACGTTGCCTATGTGTAGAACAGAGAGTACTCGCGAAAGTAGGTTTTTTTTCAAGCTAAGTTTCTTATCTTTGCTCGCAACACGAGCACTTCTCACATATCTATCGTACGAAATGCAACGCAACGAGATAATCGCCCAACAATTCGAAGCCTCTTCTCGATGTTCAGCCTGTAGCATGTAGTATAAGTTGGAATGAGAGGGAAAGAAAGACTAGAGGACGACTTTGAACGTATACGCGCGAGTTCATCGCTCTCCCGCGGTAGTAAGTTTTCGCTCGAACAGTAGAAAAACTTGCAGAGGAATCCCATTCGTTCTCGAGCTCTGACAAAAGTTATCTCGCATCTAAGAGAGCTCGGCCGAATCGAGGTCCGGATTCGGCCGTGTCGCGTCTCGTAAACTTTCCAAATATTTCGAGGTCCAAAATTTCCTCGACGATTCAACGATCACTGCTTTCTCGCGATACTTCCCACGGTAATTCATTCGGTATTTTCCGTACAAATGAATCAGCCGAGAGAACCGAGCAGATGTGTATACATATAGATGAAGCGTGCGACTCTAATTGTAATGAGTTCATACTCGAATCGTTGGTATCGTTCAACGGTTGCGGTGATCGCGGAAGAATGGAAAAGGTAAAGCTCTAGAACGTAGTCAGGTGTCGTTTCTCGGTCATCGTACCCCGTCTACTTATCTCGACTACTTTATCCGACGAAATTGTCGGCGGAAGCGAAGAGCGCTGGGTCCTCTTACAGCCACGAAAATTATATCGCGGAAGCAAAGTGCCGCACGAGAGGGGCGTGAGCTTTCGTAAAGTTGCCGGGCACCGGAAACGTCGGATAACGAGCCAAGATATCTACGCTTTCCAGCGAGTTTTCGTGAAATTTTCCAGTCGCCTCTCCTTGCTTCCCGGTGTTGCGAGCCTCGGAAAGATAACGCGGCAACGCGGCGCGACTCTTCATTCAGACGAACCAAATGCTAACCTTTGCTTCGAAGAGCTTCCCGTTAATCGTGTTACATACTTCGTTCGAATCGGTTCACCTGCAAACTGCCGATTCTAAATAAGCGAAGCAAATATTCTGTCTGTAATAACGAGACAAATCGATCCCGCGTCGAAGTCAACCAATATTCAATTGATTTACATATCAGATTGTGTCGATCGTATAAGATTGAATTTCATAACTCTCTCTCTCTCTCTCTCTCTCTCTCTCTCTCTTTAATTTTTCTTTTTCACGATCGATAGAGGCTGGCTCAACGTGACTGGACCGCGACCGATTCCCCCAGGGTGCGTGATTATTTTCCCGATTATAATCCATCAGTCTTCGCAATTTGTATAATTAGCAGGTTTGTCCTGTGGTTTGCGACGGGTTTTGTTCGCGCGACGCTGCCCTCTTTCATCGTCGAACAAAACGGACGAGATCACCGATGATAAATTAATCCCGGGCATCGGTTATACGTGGCTCTGAGCAAGTATTTTCCGGGATTATTTGTCGTACACGGGTCACGCGGTTTTTCTTGATCCAGCTTCGAGAGCTTTGTTCGCTAACTCGAGATCTTCTGGCCAATCCCAATTCTCTTCTTCTTGCGTTCAATTTGCGACCGGATTCTTGAATGTTTGCTCGAGTCAAAACCCGACAAAGAAGAACGAAATACAAAAAACTGGCCTGTGTTGGCGGTTCATCACACGATTTCATCGATTTCAATTGAACTTTGAATTCTCTGTAACGTTTAATTCGGAAATTCCGTTGTATGTGAAAAATATGCCGGTAACGGGTATTAAACGTTTCCCCCCGTGTCTACGCTCGCGACTCCTCCTCCGTGCTAAATGCTCTCGACAATCTGAACACCCGTGTATTTACAGTGTCGCTTTACCGAATTCCCGGTGGCATTTACCGACGATGATCGAACGCTCGAGATACACGGCGTTTAATACCTTTTTGTTTACTGTAAACATTTTTCCTCACCGAATATAAATACCATCGATGGACAAGATGAATAGACTAGGCGAGCCGGAAAACCGACCGAGCTGGACGATCAAATAAGCGGATCTGCGGATTTCGCGGCTGGCAAAAAAACAGCTTTCGCGGGCTTTTGCATTCGATTAAAAGAAAAAAAATGGGATTTTCTCGCGCGTTCATTCTTTTTTCATATTTCGATACAGTGTTTTACGAAAACGAGCTATATATTTTATTAGCGAATAAAAAATGTTTATTGGAAAAAGATTCATTTGGATTCCCCACCATATAAATAAATCACCGA